CGTTGACATTTCCTATAAATTCGGATTTCAATTCCGAAATGTCCTCAATCATGTCTGCATTATCTGGATCTTCGTCATCTTGGCCAATTTCCTTTGACCAATCATCTCTAGATTGTCTCAGAAAATCTGGTCCAGTGAACCAATTTCTACTGAAGATCGCATTTTCCTCGTCGATTTTATACCTAGTGGCCGAATCTGCGATGTTCAATTTGGTGCTTATCCAATGCCAACTTCTTGGATCTGATCTCTCCTGTATCTCCCCGATCCGATGGGATACAAACTGCGTGTATTTTCGCCCATCGCTTTTTATCCATTTGAGGACGCATCTTGAATCAGACCAGTAGTGAATATGACTGATATGTATCTCTAGTTCTTCTTTAAGGGTAGATGCAAGTCGACTTGCCATGACTGCGGCTTGCAATTCCAACCTAGGTATCGACAGAGGCTTCAAGGGGGATACTCTTGACTTTGCCATGACTAGGGCAGTTTCTATTCTTGTGGATGTTGAGAATCTCAAGTAAGCTAAGGATGCAAATGCTTTCTCACTGCCATCACAGAAGATGTGTAGCTCTACCTCTGAAGGACTGGAAATCAGTGTCGAATAGCATCGAGGAATCCTCAATTCAGTAGTTCTTTTGAGCTCGTCTAGCCATCTCAACCATATCCTCTGAAGATCCTCAGGTATTTCATCATCCCAGCTGGTACCGGCTCGCCAGATATCTTGCAGAAGTATTTTAGCTCCTATCGTTAGACTGCTGAGAAGACCTAGAGGATCGAACAAAGACATCACAATTTTCAAAATTTTCCTTTTAGTAATCAACCCTCCTGAAATGTCGCTATGTTGTACCTTGTACCTGAAATCATCAGTTTTAAAATCCCACCATACTCCCAAGACTCTTTGCATTCGTTCTTTGTTATCAATGAAGCATTTGGGATCAACCACATCTTCTCCAAGAACATTCATCACCTTGGTTGAATTCGATGTCCAATTCACTACTTCAAATCCTCCTAGCAGTTGAACACTACTCACTGCATCGATTGTATGGACTGCCTCCTCCTCAGTGTCCTTGGAGTCCAAGTAGTCATCGACATAAAACCTTCGGGTTATAGCTGCCAAGATATCAGGTGAATCAGCATGCTCTTGTGCGTTCAAATTTTTAATATACTGGGCACATGAAGGAGAGCAGGTAGCTCCAAAGGTCATTACCTGCATCTCGTAGATATCAGGGTCTTTCCTGCAGTCTAAGTTTCTCCAGAGAAGCCGTTGTCCACATCTATCCTCTCGTCGTATTTTCACCTGATGGAACATCTCCCGAACGTCTCCACTGAAGCCAACCTTCCTTTGTCGAAATCTCAACAAAACCGCTACCAAAGGTTGCAATAAATCAGGTCCAGTCAACAAATTATCATTCAGGCTTATACCGTGTGACTTTGCTGCTGCGTCGAAGACTAGACGAATCTTTCCTGGTTTATTGGGATTAGTGGTAGCAAAATGTGGCAAGTACCAGGTGTGAGGTGGTTCTACAGCAGCTTCTTCTGGAGTCAACTTCTTCAGATATCCTTTCTGGAGGTATGAATCGATTTTCTCTCTATAGGCTGATGCAAATTCCTTATCTCGTCGACATTTTCGTTCCATGCATACTAGACGTTGGAATGCATTGAATCTACTTTCTGGCAGTTGCGGATTATCTGACCTCCATAGTAAACCTATTTCGAATCGATTTCCTATCCGTTTGGCTGTCTTCTCCATAATGTCCAATGCTTTCTTGTCCTCACTATTCGGTTTTCTTGTGGTGGGAAGTATTCCAAAGGACTCAGTTGAGAATGATTCTTTCACTAAGTCTTCCAGTCTGTCATCTTCCGTCTTTTCACACATATGCAACGTATGTGCCACTATATTTCCTTGACTAGACGACGGTCCATGTAATGACCACCCCAACTTACATTTCGTGGCAACAGGTAGTAGGTTGTCAGAACTTCGTGTCTGTCGTGGAACGATTAAATCGGCATTGTCTTGGCCTATAAGAATCATCGGAGCTTCATTCACAAAATCATCGATAGGAAGATCGCTCAAATAGGAATATTTCTTCCATGTTTTCATCTCTACTGACTGAACTGGTAAAGATAAGTCTCCTGACGTCCTAGCACTTGATATTTCGAATATCTTCGAGTCATCTTTTATACCTGAGATTGCTAGATTTACCTTACAAGAGTTCTCCAGATTTGATACAATGTCACCAGTCCATCGTAGACAGAGTGGTTCTGCTATGCCAACCAATCCAAGTTTATCTACCACCATTTTGTCCACTAAAGTAACTGTGGATCCTTCATCGCATAATGCCAGTGTCTTCAAACTGCCTTTGGGTCCATACAGTATTACTGGAATCATGCGAAGTAGAACAGTTCTTTCCCTTTCTTGGACCGTGTAAACTTCTCTACTGGTGCTTGGAGTTGCTACTTCAAATCTTGGTTCCTCAGACCTTTCTGAAACTTTTTTATGTAAAAGTGTATGATGCCTCAATTTGCACCCGTTCGTGCCACATTCTTTCTTATTTTTACATTTGAATTTGGGATGTCCATGTTGAAGACAAGAAAAGCATAGTTTCTTACCAACCACAGTGTTCCACCGAGTATCCACGTCGTCTGCTATCATTTTCTTACATTTTCCTATCACATGATCTTTTCCGTCGCAGTATTCACATTCCTCTTTCACTTCCCTGGTATTGAATATTGCTTCCTGGCGCTTGGGAGGATAAGATATTGTCTTGAAGATTCTTGCTGTCTCAGTTGATTTAGGAATTCTAGAAGAGGTGACGTAAGATGCGGCACTCGCAGTCTGGGTTAACCACTGGGAAAGATCGATCATATCCACTGAGCCTCTCTTACTGAAAACTACTTCTCCCCATTTCAGTTTGAGAACATCCGGTAGTTTGCTTACAAGGTCTTTGATTAGTTGAGGATTCTGCATATGACCTAGAGAATGTAAGGATTTCATGGTTGCAACTAGATTTCCGACTTCATTCGAGAAAATTATCAATTTATCAATATTCACCTCTTTCATTGAAGGCAACGTATTTATCTTAGAGATTATTACTTCAATAATGAACTCAGGCCTACCGAATCGCATTTCAAGTGTATCCATAATAAGTTTAACATTGTCTCCCGACATCATCATTCCTGAAACTGCGGATCTCGCTTCACCTCTGAGACATTTCCTCAGCTTGATGACCATTTCTTCTTCGCTGTAGGCACACATACTGGATATACGATTGAAGGACTTGTGAAATAGAGGCCAATCCTCAGGACAACCATCGAAGGTGGGAAAATCCTTCTCAACGGTTTGCCTAGCAATGATCTTATTCTGGGCAGAATGATCTGGACTAATACTCTGGACCAAATTGGAAATCGTTTGACAAAGTAACTTAATATCTTTATTCTCAGATGGTGGACTATCGTTATTACCCTTTTCAGAAAATTTAATGACATTGTCACCGTGACTTTTGTTAACGACAAACTCACCTTTAGTAGACCTCGCTTTCGAAATCTCAGGTTGATGCAGATTTTCCGGATGGCCCAGGTTTCCAGGATGCTGCAGTTTCTTTACCCATTCCTCCGTCGCTTCTGCGTAGATCTTCTCACCGTCGTCCCCTCTCTCTGCTACCTGGAGTTCTCCGGCTACCTCTGCTTCCATTATCTTCGCTTCTTGCAACTGCCGCCCCAATTCTAGTAGACGTAATTCATTTTCAATCGCCTTCTGCTGCAGCTCTAGTTTCTGTCTTGTCTTCTCGGTCTCTACTTCTAACTCTAACTGCTTCTTGCGAAATCTCAAACTGGCCTGGGAATTCGCACTTATCACAGACCTGGTATCACTATGAGCTCCATCATCATCTCCATGGACTGCACCGTAATTGAAATTCGTCACTACTGACCTGCTGTCTTCGTGGATTTTGTCATGGTAGTTAGAAGATGTTTCCTTTCGACTTTCCACACCTTCTCTTTCCTTTCTACCAAATCCACTAGGCCAGACATAATTCAGGGACAAACTTCTATTGATACCTGCTCCCTTTCTAGTACTTTTCCTTAGGTTTTCCATCGCTTGATTATCGTATTCGGATTCAAAGGACCAACTGTTGTTTCGTTTAATATCAAATTTCAGTAAACCTCGTATTATTCAATAAAACTCGTATTTTAGACAAGTTCAAAAACCAAATCTTATCTTTTATTTCAACAACATTCATTTTTTCTACAATGTCAATCTGGATATCAAATTGTGTCAAACATATAAACATCTACAGGATGTAAAACATCTACAGGATGTAACACACTGTTTTATCACTAACCAAATCGATTTTTTACAGGTATATATTGAATATGCAATGGCCAAGATAGAAACTGGTCTATAGTTAAACCTAAGAGTTACGAGTTTTTTGTAGGATTTATACAAAAATTCCCAAATTTTAAGGGATCTATTTGGTCATCAGGTATTATTCTTTTCAAGATGAACGTAAAGGAAGATTTATCGAAATTGAGTGTCAATTTATGATCTTGTAACCATAATGCAATTGAAGCGAGATCTTGTTCCATTTGGTTTTTTATTTCTCTTATATTTTTTCCGTAATAAATAAGAGTTTGAGATAAAATTTATATAAATAAGAAATAACATAGGTGAAAGAATTGGTCTCTGAGGCACACCACAAGATTTGTTTCTTATTGAAGAAAATGAATCTCCCATAGATAATTTTCAAAGAAAGAGTAAACTTTACCTCTTATTCCTATTCGAGTTAATTTCATTAATAGAATTTCACTATTGACTGTATCAAATGCTTTTCACAAATCCAGTGATCAGAGTCCACATCTGTAGTCCAAATCTGATGTCAGCTGAATGTCAGTAATAACATCCAGTGTTGCACATTCAGTATCACATGATTTCCGAAAGCCATATTGACCATTTGTCGGTGGTAGTCATAAAAAAATAATAAACATTTCGAATGTGAGGTTACCTTCAGTTCTGGCATGCTCAGTTTCACTTTGCTCTTCACCGTAACGCTCAGCCCAGTCTGCAGATCTCTCCTCCTTCGCTCCAACTTCTCGTGCAGGTTAGCCATCAGATCCTGGGCCTCCTTGTCCAACGATTTGTAGGGGCCTCCGTTCTTCGACAGCTGCGTCGAGAAGCTGCCGAAGCACGCTTCCACGAAGTGGCTGAAAACAGTTTCATTGACGCCATAGACATTGGCAGGGAGGTCATCTGTTATCTACGGATTTTCGTTTATACGAGTTGATGCATGGATTTCTGAGTTGATGCATGGATTTCGGGAGATCGTTTTGCGTGGCAGTAGCCAGGGAAGTAGTTTACAACTTTTTCTTGAATACTTTTGGAAACCAATGAGTTTTTTACTTGCTGTTGAAATTTCATTCCACCGTCGGTAAATAAGATATCTTTAATTTATCCTGAAGATCTGAAGATTCACATCACACATTGAAGTGGAAACAAGATTTTAGAAGGGCATTTGAAATGATTTCATTAATAAGTAATTATTCGTTTAAAGTTTGTATTTTTGCAATTGTTGACACATTTGATCTTCATTTGATATCTCGTATTTCTAGCAAGTATGTCTTTGATAATTGAAAAATTGAACAGACGTCAGCTGGTATGATTGTTCATTAGATATTTCAAAAAGTAATCCCGGAGGAGGCAGTAGCCTTCAGAGCCACGTAGTGGCTCAAGTGCTAAGGTGTATAAGTAGATTCAACAATCATACCTTGAGAGTAGGTCGACAAGGTGTCCTTCTGTAAGCATGAACGTAGGGGTCTATGCACGACTTACTCGCAAGGTATACTTGTTGAATCTACTTATACACCTTAGCAGTAGATGGCTCTAAAGGCTCGATTTTCTTCTACCCCTCCGGGCTTTGATTTGTAGGCTCATTTGTTCAAATTTCAAGAAGGTTTACTGGAAAAATTGTTTCTATTCCAATTTTACACGTCTTGAATTTGAAAGTTCTATTGCAACCTTTAGTTCTTGATATTATTTCTTCTAAACTTCGATAAATCTCGCTCCCAAATGCGATACATCAACTTTGCATCAAACATAAACGAAATTTGAAGCAGAGATTATTTTCTGAAGAAAATCATATTTTTGTCGATATAATTTGATTGAAGTTTAGTAGCATGATAAAGCTACAGAAATGAAATAATTTGGTCGGGGATTGATATTTTTGAATATTACAGATATTTCGTACCAATTTAAAAAATTTCAAAAACTAAGTTTTCTGTGATTAACTTTGAAAAAATGTAAATTTTGACATGTAGCGAAGATCACGTAACCCCGACCAAGTAGTCAATTTTTCATATATTTTTAATCAGAACTTGATTTTCAAGTCGAATTTTGAAATAAATTATTATTTTCTCCAAATGACATTAAAAGTGGCTTTTTAATAACACTCCATAAGCAGCAAAGGTTTACTTTTACTGCCTAGGCAGAAAAAGTTTGTTGTTATGCAACGTTCCAAGTAATTTGAATCAAATTGGTAATCAAAATTGACAATGACTTTGAGTGAAAAAAAAATGATAGATTATTTGGACTTTGCGTGAAATTGAAAAGAATTTGGAGAATAACTTATGTTTCACATGGCAGAAAAGAAGATGTAATGCTTTGGCTGGTTTCCTAGCTTCGGCTAAGCCTAAGCTATGAAACGCCATCCGCGGCATTAAATCTTGTACTATTCTGTCTAGTAAAACAAATGACTATTAAAAGTTTTTCTCATATGATGCCGACTTCATTAAAGACACTGTACATATAAAATGTATCATTGAAATAGATCATGAGTATATAAAGTGTCCTATGACGATAAAAAAGAATAAGTGGCTGTAAATGCGTATCCAAGATATGAGGAAAAAGACGGTGAAATTTCGGACTTTGTCGTGAAATATTTCGATGAATAGTGGTTTGTTCACACTTTCAATACGAAAATCGTGTTTTTCAAACGAAAATTTCCCACCAAACATTTTCAATCAACTTAAAGCCTGTATTTCGTATCGTTCCCATAGCAACTGAACAAATTTCTCGGTATTTTTTTCCTCTTCCTTGGGGGACGAAGCATGAAATTATACTGGACATTTTATGACCTTTATAGGTTAAATGACATTTACATTCCATTTCAGATTATTTAGAGTTCATTCCATAAGTCAATAAATGAAAATCATTTATCAACAGTTTACCATATAATATTATGTAGGTATACTTGCAATATAATATTTCAGTATGAAATTTTCTTACCGAATATCACTTCAGCTTCAATTAATAATTAAAGCTCTCGTGATAATATAAGTGAAAATACGAATATCAATCAATCAATCAATCAACTTTATTATTCCCAAGAAACAACATTTGTTTATAGCAGGGAACATAGTGAATACATAAATATATTTGACAAAATAAAATAAAGAAGACAGTAAAATAAGACTCACACTCAAAAAGAATCTTTTTTTTTTCAAGTTCAAATGAAAATGATCCTCAATTGACTCAGCTGTTAGGTACACAATTGAAAACTATAGTAGTTGTACAAGAAAACTATAAAAATGAGATAAGATGTCAATATTACAGGAGTAGATGTTTCTTGAATTCTCTTTTGAATTTTTCAATCCTATTAATCAGCTTCAAGTTATTTGGTAGTGAATTGTATTGTATCATTCCATTGTGATAGATGGATTTTTTAGCAATATCTGATTTAATTTTCTTGACAGAAAAATGATCTGCTTGTCTGGTTGTATGGTTGTGGTGATTACTATATAACACAAAAACTACTCGAAAATTAACCATAGCACGATAAGTGCCAAACTACCGACACGTCCACCACTCACCTGAAATCCTTCTGCGGCTGCGCGATCGTGTTCTCGACCACCGTCTGGTAGGCGGCCAGCTCGTCCCACTCCATCTTGGCCTCGAAGGCGGCCAGCGCCTGCTCGGCGCCGATCTGGAAGTAGTAGTCCGAGGCCATGCCGGGCCCGGCGACGCGACGCACCACGAAGCTGTCGCTGGCCGGCACGCGGCCGCGCTTTTCGATGATCAGCCGGAAGATGGCGGCGTCCCACAGCAGACGGAACCAGTACCGAGCGATACCGCCTGCGACAAACAAGGGTACAGGGTCATTCCGTATATTTAAACAGCTTCTACAGGGTTTATCATTGAAGATAGAGAAAAACTTCGAATGCAAAAGTTGTAGGGTTGGTTTTGAACCTCCAGGAAATTCTACCAGATGAAAAAAACAAACAGCGATATTCAGCTGATATCAGAAATGGGTACCAACTGCGTTATTTCCAATGGAACACCCTATTTATTTTTCGAAAAAATTCAAGATCTTTTCTTCCTGATTCCAAAAATATATTGGTCATTGATATTTGTTCAGCCTTTTTCGAGATATTCGAGGTTGAACATTTTAGATTTAGTTTTAATTTGATTTCACCAATCGCAATTGCCATGAAGACAAAACAACACATACGTTGTCATCAATAAAACGTTCTGTCATATGTTCATTGCATTGAATTTCGGAAGAAATATGGGTTTCAGTGAAAATGAAAAGTTTGAAATGATTCGTTTATTCTACAAAAATTATAATAATGCAGTGGAAGCTCGAGCGGAGTATCAACGCATTCATCCTGGAATGCCAGTTCCTTCCAGAAGTACGTTATATTTCACTGCGAGGATTGCTGATGAAGATGGAGAATTGGAAATATTGCTTTATTTCCAAGGTAGAACTCACATTGAATTACTTATGAAGTAAATATCATTTGTGTTCATGAAAAATATAATTATTTTTAGAAAATCCCACTCATTCCACTAAGGATGTATCTAATATTGGCAAAAGTACTAAACAAATTTTGTCTGTCCTACATATGCACGGATATCACCAATTTGAAATTATACCAGTGCAAAAGCTTACAGACAATCATAAAATTGCAGGACAAGCATATTGCACAGAAATGATGCTGAGAAAAAACGAGGATAATGATTTTTTAAGAAGGGTTTATGGACTGTTTACCACCACAGGTGTTTATAATCGAAAAAACACCCATATCTGGTCAACTCATAATCCACATGGATACGAAGAGATTCAGCACCAGCGTCGCAAATCCCTCAATGTCTGGTGTGGTATTTTGGAAAGCCAAGTGATTGGACCAATTTTCTTTGAGGGTTCTTCAGCAGGTGATAGGTATCTGCAGTTTTTGAACAATGAAATTGAATATCTGTTGGAAAACCTCCCACTCAGGCAGTATAATGAATTGATCTGGCATCAGGATGGCGCGTCACCTCATCAAGTTATGCCCATACGGCATCACTTGAATGATCGTTATCAAACCTGGATCGGAAAATTTGGAACAGTGGAATGGCCGCCGAACAGTCCAGATTTAACACCTTTAGATAACTTCCTATTGGGCTATTTGAAGAATGAAGTGTATAAGGAAAGAAGTATAAATTTGGCTGATTTGAGAAGAAGAATTTTGGAATGCATTAACGTATTGAACAATCATCATTCCAACTCCATTTGCAATTCGATAAATAAATTGGATAAAGACTACAGAAAATGTATACAAAGCAACGGTGGTCACATCGAACATCTGTGAAATTGCATCTCCATCTTGGCAGTTTTGGTAAAATCTAAAATGTTCAACCTCGAATATCTCGAAAACGGCTGAACCAAATATCAACGACCAATATATTTTTAGAATCAGGAAGAAGAGATCTTGTATTTTTTCGAAAAATATATATGGCGTTCCATTGAAAATAACGAAGTTGGTACCCATTTCTTATATCAGCGATATTCATTTGTTTCACCTGGTAGAATTTTCTGGAGGTTCAAGACAAACCCTACAACTTTTGCATTAGAAATTTTTCTCTGTCTTTAATGATGGACCGTGTAGAAGCTGTTTAAATATACGGAATGACCCTCTACAAACATACTGGGGAGACAAGCGTCGAGACACGCGGCACCATTGAACTCAATTAGGTATTTCGGAATGCTGTCAAAATCAATTCCAAAATGGTTGCTGTACCTAAACGAACAACTGTCATTCCGTGATTTTTTTAACCATATTTTTAATTGGATTTAAAATGTGTCAAATGCTGCTTTTTTGTCTTCTTTAGTTGATAATCGAATTTTATATACTTAGTTTTATTAGGATTGCATTTGGCTTGCAGATCTTTATGAAAATCATTGAATAGTTGTATGTGTATTCTGGACAGTATTTGGATAGGTTTTGCTCAGTGTTTGTGTTATAAAATAGTTATTTATTATGCAAGGAAAAAAAGCAGAAGCTCCAGGTTGTGTTGTCTCCCGACGCGTAGCGGAGGGAGACAAAAAACTGTGAGATAAAATCTAATATTTTTCCCGTGTATAATACACTATTTTTTTCTGTGACAGAAGAAAGGACGAATCAATATTATAAAGATATCACATTATTTTGAAATCTGAAAATTATCGACGTGAAATTTTAAGTTTTTAACAGTAGGGACACCTGCGTTGTAGGTATCTTTATCATTCTTTTGAAGTAATCGAATATCTGATGTCACTTCTGTCAGTCTAATTCTGTGATTTGATTTTAAAAAATTGCGAATTTAGTGGTTGTTTTGTAATATACGTAACCGCAAAGTCGAATGGAGGATATAAGGACTTGCAGTTCTTTCTCGGTGACGGTATTATAGACTCATTTTTCGGAACTATAGCACAACAAAAGCCATCAACAGTGTATATATGTGAAATATATCCGGGAAGAAAGTACTCACTTTTTTTCCACGCGAAAAAAGGAATTTATGAAAACTCTTAATATTTTGAGTTTCTCCTCCATCAAAACATTTCTGTTTATCCACTTGTCTCTTCTTTCAATAGAAAAGTCCGAAGATAATTCATTAAGTTCCAATATATGTTCAAATTTTAGAGACTCGGGATTCAGGGAAACTTCATCTTATCACGATATAATCTATTTTTAACATTAATTATTCCACAATAAGATGTTTTTTCTGTGCCGCGAAAAAAGTTTGGCATTTCCTCTCTGTTGGCAGGTTATAAAATGTCACTTTTCATAAATTACTTCCGGTGGGAAAAAAGTGAGTACTTTTTCCCCGGATATATATATATATATATATACACGTTTTATGGCTTTTGTTGTGCTATAGTTCCGAAAAATGAGTCAATAATACCGTCTCCGAGAAAGAACTGCAAGTCCTTTTATCTTCCATTCGACTTCGCGGGTACATTTATTACTAAACAACCACTAAATTCGCAATTTTTTGAAATCAAATCACAGAATTAGACTGACAGAAGTGACATCAGATATTTGATTGCTTCAAAAGAATGATAAAAATGCCTACAACGCAGGTGACCCTTCTGTTAAAAACTTAAAATTTCACGTTGATAATTTTCAGATTTCAAAATAATGTAATATTTTCTCAATATTGATTCATCCTTTCTTCTGTCACAGAAAAAAATAGTGTATCATACACGGAAAAAATATTAGATTTTAGCTCACACAACCTGGAGCTAAAATCTACAACTTTTTTCCCTCATATAATGAATAACTATTTATTTGGTCTTAGCGCGAAACAATAACCCAACGAACGGAACCCTCTGCTCACCTGCCAAAATGACGACCGCCACCACCGGACACACCACTACCGCCACAAACAGCGCCACCACCGGCTGCACGCAGCCCTGCACCACGATATTCCACCCGAGCGCCTCGCCCAGCACGAAGAAGCGGTTGCGCCGCTGCTCGGGGCTGTCCAGGTCGTAGACCAACGCGTTGGCCAGCTGGACGAGGAGCGTGAGCAGCGGCATCCAGAGGACAGCCGTAAGGGCGACCAGTAGGCTGACGGAGACGGCGACTAGACAGACGAGGGGGAAGAGCAGGGCGAGAAGGAGGGTGCCGAAGAGGCCTTTGACGAAGTAGTTCCAGATGCGGTTGATGTGGCGCGTGAAACCTGGAAAGGAAATAATGGACCATTTCAAACCTTCCAAAATCATCGAAATAATAATAATAATATTATGTTTTTATTCAAGGAAAGATGATTATACAGTATAGACAAAAAATATTATAATAAATGATCGATACTCGATAAGTAAAAGGTTACTTGTTTTGGAGAAAATAAAAAATGACTCGATATCACAATAATTGGTAACATCAAAAGAGTTATGGAAAAAAATATATACATAATTTCATAACAATAACATGGATAAACACATATCCATTTATAAATATCTAATACAAATGTTGAAATTTTAAACAAATAATGAATATTGGCATGCACACAATGAATATTGCTATATAAAGTTAGTATCAGATTACATAAATCTGCACAACTTTAAAATCTCAAATGGGTGCGATTGATCACGTTTTCATTTCTATAATTTTATTGCACCATGATCTTGAATTGCCCTGAATGAATTTTTTCAGCTTATATTCAAATTGCTTGAAATTTTGAATAGATTTGACTTCTTCAGAGATTGAATTATGAGCTTTTGGTGCAATGTAGGAAAATGATCGTTGAGAAATAGATTTAGTCATATGTGGAATCAAATGATGATACCTCTGCCGTGTTTGGTAGCTATGAGTATAAAGTCTGGCAAGATTTTGTTTATATTTTAACACAACCTTGAAGTAATATAGTTGCCTCAAATCCATGATTTTGCTCTCTTCATATAATTGGTCTGAAGGGAATCTTCGATTTTTTGAGAGAATCAATTTCAGAAATCTTCTTTGAATTATCTCTAAGGAATTTATATGAATTCTTAGTGCTCCACCCTATCCGATGATGCCGTAGCGTAGGTGACTTTCCACTAGAGCATGATAGAGAATTTTCATGTAGTTTGGGGGCAGGAAATTCTTCGGATATCTGAATTTATATAGAATTGTTCGTAGTTTCTTCAGAACAAAATGGATATGTGCATTCCATTTCAGACGGCTGTCAAACATTACATCGTCTACAGGTAGTATAATGAGTTTTTGATTTCGTGTGCTTATTTGAAGGTTGTTGAAGAGTGGTCTATTCTTGGTATTACAGCTGATGGGTAGGTAATTTGTTTTTTCCCGATTGACTGTTAAGAGCTTATGCTCGAGCCAGCTCTTTATTAAGCAAAAGTCTGTTTGAGCTTTATCTTTCAGAATTTCCCAGTCTTCAGCTTCATATACAATCACAGTATCATCAGCGAATCAGATTATATGTCCACTATTTTGTAATGAGAACAGGCCGTTTATGTATATATTGAATAGTAGTGGTCCTAGGACACTTCCCTGTGGTACACATGGTACATGGTACATGGTACAAATACTGAATCTTCTGAAGTAGTCCATTCTCAAAGTGGAGTGGGATGATAGCATAGAGAAAAAACCCAAAGTCTTCTCCACAAATTTAATAAGGGAAAGGCAGTTAGTACTGCTTCATTACAGTTTCGTGAGACATGTTTCGACCGTTCAAACGGTCATCATCAGTCAAAGTATTAAATTCGATTGCATTCCTTTTTTCAATTTTCTAAATTTCCTATAAATTCTGACATTATGAAAAAACTTTTCCATTCTCAATTTTCAAAAAAATTTCACATTAGTTAATTTTCTCTAAACGGCACGCCATCTAGGTTCCACTGATCCAAGTTCACACACTACTCGCAACAATTTTTACAGTTTTTCTGCCATCCCACTACAGATTAGTTCTACTTGTTGAGTTGTTGATCATAATGAATACAGTTCTCTTTCCTTGATTTCAATACTTCCGTAATTCAGGATGCTTTGTCTCTTCTTTGGCTTCACCTTTCTCGAAAAATCATATATCAACCTTGTCCCAAATGTGGATGTTTACAACCTTTTTTGGAGTGATTGGCTCTGCCTTTCCCCAAAAATATCATAAAACATTTTTCCAAGAAAATATTTTTTGACGTTTAATGTAATTTGTCGAACACAATTTTTCGTCTTCATGATGCAATAACCAATTCCACGTGAGTACAATCTCCTTATTCCATACTTTTTTCGTCATTTTGTTTTTCTAGATAATTAGTTAAAAATTGTTTGTACCTTCATCATCATTACTTAATCTTTTTAAACAAACCTTCGATTAATTTTGATCTCAACAATAATGATAAGAGTTATTCACTTGCTTTTGATATTTTACCTCACATCAAATTTTGGTATTATATAACTTCCCACTTTTCTTTGTATCCATGGTTGCTAGATGTTAGGTTTGAATGATTTTCCTTTACAGATTTACTTTTAATGCTTTGGCTGATGATGACTGTTTGAACGGTCGAAACATGTCTCACGAAACTGTAATGAAGCAGAACTAACTGCCTTTCCCTTATTAAATTTGTGGAGACGACTTTGGGTTTTTCTCTATGATATCGAAATGCTGGTTGAAATTAGAACATTACAATACATGAAACGCATTAAAATACTGACAGGATACCGATTTGGATTTCAGCTGAGAAATAACAAGAATGATGCTCTGTTTTCCTTCATGGAACAGGTGTATACGAGCTTAGACAGTGAGGCAGCTGTTTCGAATCTGAGGGGAAAATAGTTATTCATGTAACAAGTAGACCAAGTGGTACTTTTTTTATGAGTAGGTATGCAATGTTGACTATTCCTACGTGTATAAATAAATATTTTCGTGCAACTATGAGAGAAAAAGTTCGAAAGAATGCGAGAGATGCTCAACTTTACTGATATGTAATGAGCCTTTCCAATCATTTCTTTTCCATCAATTCAGCGTATGAAAAATTAATGAAAACAAGTGATACAAACGATCAGACATGGCGAAAGGTGTGACGCCAGTGCACGATCAATTTGGAATGGTGATGTCTTCTCGCGGGTGCCAATAAAATGCACAATGGACTTGACAATGATGCCCATTTGGACAGAAAGCTATGATTAATCAGATATTCATTTCTCGATTTTTTCATTTCAGCAAATAATACAGATGCTGTTAGATAATTCAATAATACCTAATTACCTACCTACCTACCTACCTACCTGAAAATTCGGTGTAATGAGAAATTGCATTGCATAATTAGTTAGTTTCTGTTGGTAAATTATTCGAAATTTCAAGTGAAATTTCAATTTGTATTGAATTTCAGTGCAGATATTCATGACATCCAGTTTCAAATCCCTTCCAGTGAAGTACTCTCAAGTTTAGGTACTCACCTATTATGCATATACGTATCTACCTATACCTACCTACCATAGGGAAAGGAACGAATTATGAATCAATCAATACTAAGTTGCTTAGTTGGTTCTCTTTTCTGATGATTTTAGTACATGCATAACTGTATTTCGCTCGCACGTTAAAATATCTCGATCATTAATCGCCCTCATCAATACACTAGTTGATTAAATAACTAATATCTGACAATGTTGCCGACAATGTGCGCATGATCACCATTGCCGCAAGCACACTGGTTGTATCAGATTTCAGCGATTTCTCACACTTGCATCAGCCTTCTAGGTCTTTGAGTTCTGTGAGATGACTTCGAGCATTTCTTCCTTCCTTTATGATAGGTGTCATTCAAGTGTCACAAGATGAAGTCCGTGTTTTGAAATAATGGTCATTGCAAGCGAATGCGACGTTAGAACTGCCGCATTAGAAAATAAAGCTGTTTTTCGCTCTCAGCTTTGTCACAATAGGAAGCTTAAAGATCATTTATCACTTTATGTTGCCTAGCAACATCCGTAAACTAACGAAATGAATTACTCACTTTAGGTACACAAACTACACATGACAGTTACAAAGTACATTTTTTCATCAAAATTGAACGCAATAAAAATGATAATTATAGGAACGGATGCAAACAAACCTTTGCCGATGAACCCCGTATCCGGCTTGGTCTCGAAATGCGTCCGCGACTTCGAGATGTGCCGCCACAAGCTCAACAGCCGCGACATCAGCGTCGGCGTCAAACTACTTTTCCTCGGGAACAGCGTCCCGTTGACCTGCGACAGCTCGAGGTCGGGCATGAACGGCTCGAGACGGAGGAGCGCGCGCAGCCCCACCGGTGAACACCACGGCAGCACGACGCCGAAGAAGAACATGGCGTTCCACGTCCAGCACCACGTGCGATGGAAGTAGTTGAAGAGGCGCCAGAGGGGCCATCGGGTGGTCGTCGTGCGGATGGTTTCTTTCTCGACGAGGAACACCTGGAAACCAGGAATAGTGATTGGTTAGGGAACTGTTTTTTTTTTAAGAATTTCACTGAACAAATAATGATAAACACTTTCATTTACAACCATACCGGGTGTCAACGAATCTATTAGACCAGTCATAACTTCTAGACCATAAGGTGTATCAAAATGAGATTTGGTATAGGTAAATGGTATGTGAAGAGGAGAGTTTTCACACATTTTTCACCTTCCGGCCGCTTCCGGTTTCACCGGAAATGGCACCGGTTCTAAATTTTTAAAAGGAACACCCAGTATATTGTAACATTTTTGGATTTCTGAGACAATTCTAGATCAGAATGTGACATTTTCGAAAGTGTTCATGCCTACTGAATTTTTTCGGAGTCACTTTTGAAATTACATCTAGGTGGCCATGATCGGAAGTAAACTAATCTAAGGATCTCAGGTGATATCAGAAAATTACAATCGCGAAGTTTTAGTGACAAGTATGATAGATATGAATGAGACAAGTTGGCAAAATTACATTTTCGTGTCTAACTATTATTTTTCAAATGGCGACCATTTTTTGACAAGCACTTTCGGAAAAAAGGATATTTTGACGAATGTAACGATACCAATTTATTTGAGATTCGATTACAAATGAGAACATAAATTGATTATTACTGACGAGAATACTTCAGAGTGACTCCGAAAAAATTAAGTAGGCATAAAGACTTTCGAAAATGTCACATTCTGATCTAGAATTGTCTCAGATATCCAAAAATGTTACAATATACAGGGTGTTCCATTTAAAAATTCAGAACCGGTGCCATTTCCGGTGAAACCGGAAGTGGCCGGAAAGTGAAAAATATGTGAAAACTCTCCTCTTTACATACCATTTACCTATACCAAATCTCATTTTGATACACCCTATGATCTAGAAGTTATGACTTGTCTAATACATTCGTTGACACCCGGTATATGTAATGTTGTCATTACTAATCTTTTAGATTCGTATCTTCAAAATAGGACAATCAGTACCAAATCTACTAACTCAGTCTCTCGACTATCGATGACTGAAGGTGTCCCTCAAGGATGTGTTTTAGCAAAGAGGAGAGGGGAAAGAGATTCCACTTGGAGTATTAATGAATGAAATAGTGAAACTTAGATGATGACCTTGAAATAACCCAAATGAATGAACTGGCACGATGGGTTACGCTCCGCTCATTGGTTGGAAGCAGGTTGAAGTATTGATTTTTCGAAACTGACATACGTATTGAAGGCGCGCTTACAACTTACAAGTAAGCGATCCGCGTTCAACGTATCAAATCCTCATTGGTGGATAGATTGACAGCCGTCGCGTAAATGTATGTTCACCCAATCACAACACGATTCTACAAAATTAGGTGGACATTGTGAATCTACCTTAGAATAGTTTATTTACAAGTGTCAATGGAATAATAGAAATTAATAATAATTTATTTTGACTTGCCAATGAATGAGAAACTTAAGCAGGACATGAGGATATTTTGTTTTTGTGAACGATAAATCATCATTTACCTATGTGCAATGTGGAATTTCTCTTTGTAATTTTAGGTTAGGAACAAATCTCAGGATATCTTCTAAATGAACATCTTCAATTCATCTTAGTTTTCCATAAGCTGATGAATCATTCTGCTCAGTCTTACTGAAGGAAATAAAGAGAATCATTTAAGAAATTCCTTGAAATTATTTCCTTCAGTATTCAAGGTAGGTTTGCACATATGAAATAAAAATAACCATCATTTCGAATGAAGATTTTAATCAAATCAATAACAAAATAAATCAGTAAAATGTAGGAAATAGTTTTCAATATACCAAATTTATTTTCTTGATTAATTTGATTTTTCTTGGTGTGATAGCTGAAAGTTGCTTTTCTGTCTCACTTGAGAATCAGACTTCTGCACAAGTGTCTTGTGTTCCTGTGTCCACCATATCTGGTTCTGTTTGGGTACCAATGCTTCTTGCTCTTGTGTCCATCCCATCTTCAGAGCTATCATCTATTTCCATAAAATGACCTACTTCTATATTTTCATCACTAAAATATGAATGCTCCTCATGTATGGAGCCTGATAAAAATACCTATAAGATCAAGTGTAAGTATGTAAAATACAATAAAATCAGGACCATTTTACCACCAAGTTTAGTATAGGAACAGCATTTTCTTTCAGTTTGTGCTTTTCTATCAAATGATTCAAAATGTAGACTGCAAATTCTCATGCTTCCATACAATTTCATAGGATCAGTAGCCCTGATCAATTCATCATTGCACGCCAGTTGCCATGAATTCATTCTCACTTCTTGGGTCCTAGGATTAGGGAACCTAAAAAATCTCAATGGTGTATGTTGATTATTATCTAAGTCTAAGTACTTACTCTTGCAGTCTTTGACTGCACATTTTAGTCCTCCAGGTCTCCCCATTGCCAAGTTTATCTACAAAAATATATCATTTCTACCTCAGCAACCCTTTGAGGTTATGTAAAATGATAACAAGAAACGAAAAATGATGATGATTCCACTGAAACTTAGCAGAAAAACACAAGTCTATAAAAATAATAATTGCTTTCGTGCAGATTAAATCCACTTTTGTCACTGTTGAAAAATTTGCCAAATCTCTGAGAAGAAATTAGTTGACAAACAGTAAACATACAGCTGACATCTGATCGTAGTAAAAATTCAAGGTCATTTGTCAGTTTTCCCGCGCATTTGAAGTGGAGCTTCTTGGTGACTAACCTATATTCTTTGGTTTTAGGACCAATCTTATATTTATTATATATTCAAAATATCACGAAAATTCAAACAGAAAATAATTTACACTATTTATATAGACGATTCGGTACTTTTATATGAAAATAATATGAAATAAACACTTTTATTTACAACCATATATGTAATGTTGTCATTACTAACGTCATTGAAGGTTGGGAAGTGTCACATTACATACCTCAACTTCCCGCCCTCACTTATGTAATATTTTAGGTATGTTCAGAGCTAAACAGAGATTTATTAATTTTGATCGATTTATGATGGTTGTTAATAAAATATTATACAAACCTCGGTAGGAAGTTTCATTCCTGTCGTATTGCGTCTCGGTTAACTAACTAATCTCACGACAGGAATGAATCTCTTCCCACCTCGGTGTGTAATATACTATTACACTATTGAAACTTTGTTCGAGAAATATAAGATGAACACAACCACCCCCCCATTTGCTAACAATATGAATTGTACAAAAACTCTTATCACCGTCGTGATCAGGCAGAGACTGACTAAGAATTCCTAAATCCTTCTTCGCATTTCGGGATGAATAAGCCGCAAACAATGGAGGATTGTGAGTAATGTTTCTTGTTTTGTACATGTGAGTCGATATGGCCCATTTCTTTTTGAGCTTTGTGGGATAATGTAATGGATTATTTTGAAGTATTGAGGACTATTGGAAAGTGATTACTAATTGAATGATACGATGTATCCATTCATTGAATGAACTAGTTCATTGTACCAGTATATCACCTGACGAAGCTACTGTGTTAGCGAAACATGTCGTATCTATTACATTTTTATTCCTAATCTTCATATTAATGCCACAGTAGAATGCTTAAAGATCCAGTACTGTATCTCATTGTCGGTACGTTCGTTACCCCGTTTTGTTGCGTGCGCAACCATAACTCCATGCAGGCGCACCAGGTTGCCTATTTCATCATGATTTCAACACTGATACACGAAATATCCAACAGTCAGATATAAAACTCTGTAGGTCGGTACCAGGAATAATAATTATCAGAATCCGTTTGGGCCTAGTAAGTCTCAGATCATTTAGGTGATGAAATGAATATTTCCTTCATACAGGTAATAGATATGTGTATTAATTCGAACTAAATGAAATTCAGTGAGAAACGTGTGACTACATCGCTCCGCATCTTCGAATCATCAACCATATTTCAACAACATTATGATATTAATTCAATGTAAGCTATAAGATTTTCAAATAATGTGAATTCCTGATATCAAGATATTTTTTCATTTAGCTATCTGACATTTCAAGAACATGCAACTGTGACGTGAAGTTTAAAGGAGCGAGATCGTGAAAAACATGCGTGAGTACCTGCAACAAACAAAAGAGGCGGAGTGTCTCATTCGTAAGGTTTGTTAATCTGTAGCATTCGTTTAGATATTATTCCTATGATCTTATGGCAAGCTATCTGCAAAACAGGAAATTTAGAATACACAAGGTACCGTTCTTGGAACGGTCTTATTTGATTTGTATATTACTGCCCTCTTCAGCCTGAACGTATCTGGTGACATTGTCAATTTTGCAGACGATACAGTGGTCATGTATCAGGAAAATACATGGTCTGAACTGAAAGCATTGACCAACTTTGGTTTTTCAAACATAATGAGATGGTTCAATAGCAAAACTCTGAAAATGAATTTAAACAAAACATATTTTGTGCCATTCGCAACAAGTGACAATAATTTAACAATTCATGATTCTCTGCATATAAATGTTCTCAACACACAATGGAAAATCATAACTTGTCAGTCATCAATTTGCAAATGAATTCGTTTCTATATTCAACGGCTCTATTTACTAGTACAGTTGTAGATTATATCTAGCGACAGCAGGTGATCATCGCTATTTTTATGATATAAACATCAACAACGACGTCAAGTTGTCTTCTTCTATTTTTTTTTCGTTTTCATTCGTTAGCTATTTGTTAGCTATATACTTCATCATCAGCTAAATTCAGACTAGATTCGAAATAAAAATAAAAACGACTTTATCGATCGCCATTATGTACAGCGTGGACATGGAACTGAGGAATTTCGAACTTATTTTATGAAAATTCATCTGGAGAAAACTTTTTGCCTACATTGAGAAATTCTCAGATACGATCTTTACTTCAGATGCCAAATTCATGAAAAAATTGTTGAATGTTTCGCCAAATATTGTCTTGTCAAGTCAATATCACCAAGTCCGACTCACCGGTTGACTAGGATCCGACCTCGGCGTGGTGATGCTGGTGGCCTGCTGGCTCAACACCGTTGCCACCACCTCCGACTGGCCCTGGAAGTTCCTGCGCACCACCCAATTGGCCGGCAGCCAGATCTGCGTGGGCCACAGGAAGCTGCGCGTCGGCATCTCGTCTTTGCGCAGCTCGCGCAGCAACGCCGGCTCGCGCTCCTTCATGAACGACAAGTCCCTGTCGAGTAAAGATAGAATCAACTACTGTGATCAACTAAGACATATACAAAGCGGTGCGTTCGATTATTAACTCTCAGAGTAGAGTGAACTCAGTTGAAGGTTTCATCAGTTTACTCTGAAGTAATTACTACTCCTCGTGATATTCGAACGGAATTTTGAGGTACTTTATTGGCATCTGAGATTGACATGATTATGTTTGTCAAACTGACAAGTTTAGTTCACAGTAATTTCAGGAACAATAATTCATGAAGAAGTAGTAGATCATATATTCGAGTTGCAATTAATAATGTTGATTGCCGCTTATAATAATTAAGTCATGGAAACCATCCATTCTCAAAGTGGTCCAGTATTTTTCAAAAGGAGAAAAACACAATAACTCTAAGTCGACCGACTTAGAGTTATTGTGTTTTTCTCCTTTTGTTTATAATAATGTTGAAACCACGTCTTGGGTAGGTACTGCTATATAGGGTCCCTTGATGAAATGGACGTACAGGGTACGGACAGATCCTCGTCTCTTCTCACTCTGAAGTGTTTGTGAAACAGTTATATAGTTCCATCTTTATTCATTTCTGGGGATAAACACTAGATTTCTGACATTTGTTGTTTTGAAATGAAATGTCCAAACCAAAATACCGTATGTTTTCAAATAACTGAGATATGGGGCTACGTCAATAAGACAGTTTTTGTTTTTCGTTTCGTGATTATTTCAAAAACGAAATATAATAATAATAATAATAATAATAATAAATGCTTTTATTGTAGGTACAGCAATTAGCTTATATCCTAACAAAAGGCAGGATTCAATGCCTGCACATGATTGCTCATGGCAGGAATTGCTCTTCCATCCAACCAGTGGAGTAACTTATCATGATAAATTCATAATAAATAATATTATAAGGTACATACAATAGAATATTGTAGACTATTCAACTGCTCCGAAAAAAAAATCAAAATCGAACTATACTCGATAATATAAATATAAAAGAAAATACTATTCATAAAAAAAATATATCAAAATACAGTGATCAGTACAAATAAGCGGAGAAAAAGTGATGTGCCGATTCAAATATGCCATTATAATTATCATATTATAATAAGAAATTTGGAAAATTGTTATCAAATAAATATTGCTTCACAGTTTTTTTGAATTTTTTCATTTGTAATAATTTGAAATCAATGGGTAACCGGTTGTAAAGGCGAGCGATCTGGAATGAAAATGAGCCACGAAAAAAGGAGGTTTTGTGTTTAGGCGCAGTCAAATTATTTCGAAATCTTAAGTTGAGATTATGAATGTCAGTTCTGAAAGTCAGTTTCTTGAATAGATAAGGAGGTTTCCCAGTTGTTATTATTTTATGAAATATCGTACTGGAGTGTAGTGTACGCCTAGCCTCCATGTTCAGCCATCCAAGATTCCTTAAATGTTGCGTAACATGTTCCCGCTTTCTTGTGCCTGTAATAAGTCTCACACATGAGTTCTGCAATTTTTGTAGTCTCATTTTGTCCGATTTCATCAGCCCCGGTCCATAAACCACGTCTGCATAATTAGCATGTGATAACACTAAAGCATCACAGAGTATCATTTTACTTTTTTTATTCAAAAAATTTCTGTTTGAATAGATCGTTCTTAGATTCATATAACCCTGTTTTAAAATATGAGAAACGTGTGTAGTGAAGCGTAATGCATTATCAAGGTACAATCCCAAATTTTTCGTTGTATCTGCGGTGGGTAGGGGGACTCCGTCAACACGAATATTCAAAAAATTCTTGCAACGATTTCTTGCTGCTGTCCTTCCGAAAAGCATAACGTATGATTTGGATTTATTAACAGTGAGGCAGTATTTATTTGAAACGGTTATGAGAGTATTCAAATCATGATTCATTTGGTCAAGTGCCAGGTTGAAGGAGTTTTCTTCGAAATTTAAATACATCTGCGTGTCATCAGCATAACAGTGCATTGAAGCGTAACGTAAGGACTTTGCGAATTGTGAAGTGTAGAGAACAAAAAGAAGAGGGCCCAAAATTGATCCCTGAGGAACACCGTTCTTTATTTCTAGTGATTTAGATTTTTCACTGTTTATGATAACGCTTTGAGATCGGTTGAAAAGATAATTTTTGAGTAGAGATATGGCATTCATAGTGAACCCCAGGTAACTAAGAATTGATAAAAGAAGTTGGTGATTGATTCGATCAAAAGCCTTAGAATAGTCGAGCAATACTAGTAGACACAATTCATTGTTATCAATAGAGATGTGTATATCATCAATCACTTTCAGAAGAGCGGTGGTACAACTATGGTCACATCTAAAGCCTGATTGGCAGGATGGTAATATGTCAAATTCATTCAAGTATATACGCATCTGAGCATTCAATATCTTTTCGAAAGCTTTCGAGATTGCACACAAAATGCTTATTGGGCGAAGGTCACTCATATTTTCTGCATTAGCAACTTTCGCTAATGGAAGAATATGCGAACGTTTCCAACTTGCTGGATAAACATTTTTCTGTATGCAGAAATTGAATAGGTGGGTTATATGTGGCAATATCAGGGGACAGCAATGTAGTAACATTTGAATGCTTACCTTGTCATGTCCAACAGCGTTTGAATGTATACTTAGTATAGTTTTATATACTTCATGGTCATCAGTTTCGTGAAAAGAGAAATTATCATGATTATTTGCTGTATTACCAGAAAAGAAACGGATCGTTTCATCATCAGGTACAGAGTCATTATTTGACTTATTAATCGGAAAGATTCAAAGGCAGTTCTGAAATGGTAATACAATTCTGAGAAACATTAACAATATTCTTCTCACCTTGTTACATCCTCACTACTGAGATCAATTGAGTTAGAAGGATGTGACGGATCTGAGTTGTCGATTGAATAAAACGAACACGATTCCATCTGTCAGGAAGGGCAAGGGAAGAAAACATAACCCAACATAATTCAACTAAAATATAAAAAGACTGGGGAAATTAATGAGGAGCATAGAAATATTATTGTAGTGAGTATTCAAAGCATATTTCAAAGGATTCAACCTGTGGACTGAAACTTCAAAGCTGAATTTTCAGCACAGAACCACAGAATTACTAGAATTAATACAGTCGCATCATTTCCTCACTACAACACCAGATGAATAGCAAGCTCAGTTGGGGTGAGGGGAAAGAAATAGTCTCGATAGGTTCTTGAGACAACTCACATCAAACTTAGATAAATGAAACATGTTATACAACTGAGCTATTGAGCTGCACTGAGAATCTTGGATAATATCAGTCAAAGTTGGTAAAAAGAATATTACTAATGTCCATTTAACCGACTTTGTAGGTCTCATAATAACCAAGATATCAATACATGCAGCACCAATCTGGGACACAGTGTATATTTCTTGTTGCATGTGTGAACATGGAATGCAGTATACTTGGCGTACCTATGTGTTTTTTCTCGAGGTGTTCGAACTTACTTGACTATACCGATCACCCCCATTCTATTTGAAAAAGCTATTTTTTCTGTGACGGGAAAAAAGTTTGGCATTTCATCTCTGTTGGCAGGTATAAAATGTCACTTTTCATAAATTGCTTTTTTCCCGTGGAAAAAAAGTGAGTACTTCTTTCCCGGATATATATCACATATATATACACTGTTGATGGCTTTTGTTGTGCTATAGTTCCGAAAAATGAGTCAATAATATCGTCTCGGAGAAAGAACTGCAAGTCCTTTTATCTTCCATTCGACTTCGCGGTTACGTATATTACTAAACAACCACTAAATTCGCAATTTTTTGAAATCAAATCACAGAATTAGACTGACAGAAGTGACATCATATTTGATTACTTCAAAAGAATGATAAAGATGCCGACAACGCAGGTGTCCCTACAGTTAAAAACTTTATACACGGGAAAAATATTAGATTTTAGCTCACGGTTTTTTGTCTCCCTCCGCTACGCGTTGGGAGACAACACAACCTGGAACCATAATCTACTACTTTCTTCCCATGTATAATGAATAACTATAAAAAAGTTCCAACCATTCAAAAGTAACTAGGTTTCCATTTAGAACGACAATGTTCATTGTTTTCTTTGTATCTCACCTGTTGAGAAAGTAGACGGTCTGCGAGAGTCGCTGCGAGTTGCACAACATCAACGCCTCTTCGTGCGCGCTCCATTGGTTCTCCTGGCCGAATTTGTGCTCGGCCGCCTTCAGTCGAGACCGCAGCCACGGCCCGATCCGCGACAGGACGGGGTGCACGTTGCACAGGCGCGTTCTCACCTCCTCTTGGGTCTTCGACAGCCTGTGCTGGACGTTCTCCACGGCTCTGGAAGTATTCGAAAAAAAAAGTCGCAACTTGATTTATATATCTTTACTACTGGGTCTATATAAATCATCGTAGCATCGTCAATGAACTCTATATAAACACCTGGAAGGGACCCTCTGTGAACGACGAGTGAGGCAAAAATATTCTTCAGGCAACCCGCAGTGTTTACGGATACCTATCTCTTTCTATCTTATGTTGGCTAATGGGAAGCGTTCGCATTATTTGAAATATTTTCTCGTTTTCTGCTTTTATTTAAGAGTATACGTGATTAAATAAAAATATTCATGTAGGAAAAAGGATAATGTTGCAATCAATTATCATTAAAAAATTATTATTGATTTTTTTATCGACTTAATAATGAAATTTCATTTTTATTCTCACAGGATTAGGAAGTCAAATGAATACAATATTGAAATTATAAATTTTTATTCAAATGTCACAATATATTGTACAGGGTGAGAAAAGCACAATGTCTCAGCATCAGGAGAAAAAGAAAAACGATAGGAAAAATTTGAAAAGAGGGTCTTGAATGGTATTGAGTACCAAAGGTCCATTTTGAGCATAATTTCCATATGTTCCTATTTTTCCATTAGGTCACTGCCTACAAACATATCCCTATTAGAAATGAAATAAAAATACAATTCTCAATACAATATCTTTCTCGAATGGAACAGTTTGAGTTTCTTTATTGATGAATTTCGAAACTTGGGAGCTGGAAGTCTTATGCAAATGAAAGTCCATAATATGAGAAACATCTTCCTTTGGACCCAAGTTATGAACGTCCACAGATGCATCCTGAAAATAAATTACTAGCTAGTTTTTTATTTTAAAGAGGTGCAAACATACTTTTTTTTTCATTATTAATCAACTAGGTACCTACGAGTTTTCTTATTTTCCTGCGAGGATCAGCATTTTTTGGTAACAAATGCTTAGGAAATGAAAATATACGGGGTACAGCACCTGGCCTCGATAACCTAGCAGTACCTGGTATGTCTAAATAAATAATCAGTCGGCAGGAAATGCTCTCCACAAAGCTTGCTGGTTTTAGATGGAGCCCAATCCTCTCTACCATTCTCTACGAACTGCCTTAATCCATAATTCGAGAATGTCTAGTCTTGTGAATAGAAAATTTCAACAAATGATATTACTCAATATGTTTATGGAAAAGTCACGAAAGTATTCAACTTCGACAAATAATATAGGTATTCTTTTTGAACATATTCTGAGACTGGGAACATTGTATACCTAACTGATGATCATTTCAAGAACTATATTTTCCAAAAATCTGAACAATATTCAACTTGCCCATGGAATGACAATTTCCTTTTGTCTTGCTCGTTCTTGCATCTAAAGGCGACACAATAAATCACCATTGTTTATCAATATGAAATCACAAACCTTCTCAACAATCAGTTCACAGTGTTCACAACAATAAATTCAGTCCTTTGGATAAAACGAAACACGCCAAATGAATAGATATTTCACATAACCAAAGACAATGAATTCATGTCTTCACTTTCTTGCCTGTCTAGATAAGAGAAAAAAATCTAAAGTACTTTAATTATCAGATAAAAGAAAACGTAAACACCAATCCACCATTAAACAACACGAGTAGGAAAGAGACATATTACCGTAAAACATGCTATCTTTGTTGCAGCTACCCCTGACACACTTTGTGCTATTCGAGAGAACGGCCGTCTCCTTTCCAGGTGTTTATATTGAGTTTATTGAGCATCTTAGTGAGCATTGAAATATTTTATTGATTTGCGTCTTTTCAATGGCCACTACGATGGTACGATCATTTATAGAAACCCTATACTAGTATGTAATGCATAATGACACTGATATTAGTGTAGTAATGTAGTATTGTCCGTGATTTTATCATATGTAATACCACACAATTGAAGCAGCAAGCTGAAGTATGTCAATCGACGAATATTTGCAGGAAAAATAGTATCATGAGTTGTATTCGTATGAGTATTCCATGATTGAGACATTAAACGAGCGGCTAGAGAGTTCCGCACACTGCATCCATCATACTGTCATCGTTGTAAAACGAGGTTGGTTGAAGGGTCAATTCGGCTTCTTTATTGATAGAGCAAGCCGATAATTTTTAGTTAACACTCGACGCTTCAAATGTCAAAAGTTTTATCGCTAAAAAACGAGGTTGGTTGGTCAAGTGTGTGTCAATTCGGTTTCTGTATCGGTAGAGCAAGTCCGATAATTCTTATTGAACAAATATGAAAAGACTGAAATAGTTGATTATAATTTGTCGCGAGAATTTATCATGGAATAAATTGCTCTAAAACGAAATTATCATGGAAACTTTCAAGTGTTTAATATTATAGTATATTTTTATTTGAAATCATATATTTTGATTGTAAAATTAATAGTAATAGAAAAAAATGCGATAAACCAATTCGGAGCACAATTTCTGACGTTTAAATTGCTGCCAGATGTCTTTTGTACTTCGGGGACTTGGCACTTTCAGCACAATTTTCAATCAATATCAGTGGACTATTTATGCTTACCTATGCATTAAAACAACGCTTTGAGCTTGCTGCACCAGTAATTGAGCAACGCCTTCACCGAGAGCCATTATATCAGGATGCGATAAAATGCCATTATATACCCTTTGAAGATACTCCTTCATTACAGCTTCATTCACTTCCTGCAAAAATGTATATTTCAGTCATTTGATCCAAGATTTTAATAAAAAATAGGTACTGGTGAATGTTTTCATGAATTCAAGTGACTATTTCACTCATCTCATCACATAATCTGATCAATCACAAGGCAGAGACTGCTAGTGTTATCGTGTGCCTCACACAAAATCACATGATTAGCATGGAGAACTGCTTCTCCTTCCACTACTGGTCGGCTTTTTACATCTAAATAGAGCAAAATATCTGCCAAAAGAGCATCTACAACAGGCATTATTATTGCGTTTTCGATCAAATATTGACAATTAATGTCAAGAAAATCAAAAATTTATCACTCTTATCAGTACACAGTACACAAGCGGATTCCTCGATTTTTCTTTTTTGGTTATCTTCTGAACGACTTCCTGTTCAGTTGATATAGATAGATAGATTTCTTTGCTTCAAACATTTTTTCAAACAAAATGTCACTAACAAGCTACTGATTTTTCCCTGATAGAAAAATTTGTTAAACGCACTACAAATATATTGAAATAATGAGAATATTTTTATTTTATAGAAACAAAGAAAGAAATTTCCAAAAAATCAAGTGAAATGAATATACCACCTCCTCGATTAATCTACAGACAGTATATAGAACCATCAATGTCGAACATCAGAGCCACCTACCTTTTCTATATCCTGATCGGGCATCTTCTGAGTACGCAACTCGGCGATCAGTCTCTCCCGGAAATGCAGGAACCACCCTCTGGTCTCCCGCTCCAGGATGGCGACCAGCACGGGCAGCGCCTTCCGCATCAGCCCCCTGTCCCATAACCTCAAATCCAGCTCGCAGCCCGAGGGCGTGAGGAACTTGTAGGGCAGCGATACGGGCGGCTGCGAACACTCTCTGGCCACCTCGAACTTCTCGGTGGCCGCCCGCCACAGCTGCTTGCGGATGTACGAGCAGAGGATGTCGAGGGAGTCCTCGTTTTCTGGCTGCAACAACAGTGAACTAAAACCTGAATCCTAACTACATCTAGACCCCGAAAATCTCATCCAAATCGCTCGCCTGCACCATTGCCTATGCCTATTTAGTTGGCCAGAGGTATGATGAAAAAAAATAAAAGGCTTTCATTTCCAACAGGTTTTACACCCAATAACAGGAAATGCTACGAATAAATATCAGTTTCCGATTATTAATTACACTTTCGACAGAATAGTATGAATAACATGAGACAAAGACGAGGATTAGATTGATCAAATCATATCTTAGAAATGCAGTATAGTAACCATAACAGAAGAAAGACCAAAACAACTATTACTAGTGCATATAATCTGACAATTTATCAATCACGTCTCTCAGTGAGTCATGATTAACATCACATATATGAGAAATTTTGTTGAAGATATCACACATAATATAAATTGGAGATTTCAGCATAATTCTTGTTCTAGTAGCAACATTGTAGAACATGTTGGATTGTCTACTATTGAATCTTGGAATGAGGGTCTATTTGATTTCAAGTACAGAGCAATCGATTTGGTTATGCATTAATTTGTAAAGAAATGTCACACTCGAAATTATTCGACGTCTTTCTAGAGAGATCATTCCAAAATTATCCAGAAGGATTTGATTATCAATTCCTCTAGACGGGTAAGTTCCATACACCTTCATCCATAAATATTTCAAAAATTTTCTTTGAATACTTTCAATTCGGTTTGAATGATATTGGGTTGTCGGATACCATATTCACGTTTAGATCTTATATACGATTATACGAATGAAAAAGAAGTTTAAGTGCAAAGATATTTTCGAAATCTCTACAATTGCGTAAATGAAACCTAACATCGTCATATCGTCGTCAATTTTTATACTTGTCACATTTTTGTAACGTATTTGAGATTATTTTATTTATGGACAACACAATTATTCATCATTATTTGGTAAAGAAGTCTGATCGTTGCACTAGGAAGTAGGAATATATTTGAGTGCTAAAAATCGATCCGGACATGACTTAGTAAGAATAAAATAATGAAGTTTCAACCTTCTGAAATGAAAAATAACCCAAAGAAGTGTCTTTAAGTGGATGAAACCATAACAGTTTGGAAACGATGAAATCATAGTCGATATCATAAATACAAATACGAACATACCTACGTAACAATAAGCGTTTTCTTAGCAAAAAAATAGCGATAGGGAAAAGAAATCGTTCAATAAATACTTTTGAAGCTTACACGACTCACCTTGGATAAAAACTGGTCAGTTTCCAATAATAGAGATACATATTATCACAAACGTCGGAATACAACAATATCAAAATAAGATACGTTCATTCAAATGATTAGACACAGATAGTTTATTGATAGCAGAAATCAAACGACTATTCGAGTATCACAATATTATAGCATGATACACCTATTATGAGGAAATAAAAATAAACAACAATAAATATAAAGACCTAATAACAATGTTATGTTGATTACCATTACGACGAGTCGAGAGTAGCACCAGACCAAATAACTTGGAACCCTCACATCCAGTTTATTATAGCTTTGCACGTTTCTCATGAGATGTTCTTGATCTTTATCCAAAAGTTCGAACGTGAATCGAACATTACATGATATACCATTTTTTACTCGTGACACCACTGACACTATTGAAAGTATTGACATTTCAGTATTAATGTAGCGCAGATGCACCAACATGATTTCCAACCAGTCAGATGTAACGTTCACAAAAACTGATTTTTCTTCTAAATAACTTTCATTAAAAAGCTGAGTAGACGCCTACGATCAAATTGCACCAAAACAAAGCTATTTGAGTAATCAAACTTTCATAATATAGCTTCTACAGAGGTAGAGGTTTTTAGGTTGGCAACTTGGAGCGAAGTCCCCCATTGGCAGTTGAGCGTTATTTGACAGATAAATTGCATTTGATAAACTGGTATTAAGGAAAGAGTTAGTGGTAGCGACCTAACATGGAATCACACTCAGCATGCCAAACTCACCCGGCAAACCAGCTCGGCGACCAGATACTTGTTCCGCTCCTCCCGTATCTTCGCGTCCAAATTGTGAGCCTGCAAACTCGGCACGCCAATGACGACATCCAAGACGCGCAACAGACCCGCGACTAGCGCCTTGGCAGCCTGCGAATAGGTTGGGACGTTTCAAATGAAAATGTCCACTTTGAAAGTTTCAAAGTCGAAGTATTTCATTCAGCCGTGAAAGAGAAGCTTTTGAAAATGTTAAATGAAATATTAGGCCTAATTATTTCGCCGAATGACATTGTTTATCAAAACTTTCGAGCCGTAGGCGAGAAGTTTTGGAACAATGTCATGAGCAAAATTAAAGCAGCAAGCTGGAATATGTCAATCGACAAATATTTCCCGGAAATATAGTATCACGAGTTGTATTCGTATGAGTATTTTATGATTGAGACAATAAACGAGCGGCTTGCGAGAGTTGCACACACTGCATCCATCATTCTGGCTTCCAACATAATTGACGTTCTAAACGTCCAAAATTTTATCGCTGAAAAACGAGGAAGGTTAGTCACGTGTGGGTCAATTCGGCTTCTGTATTGGTAGAGCTAGTTCGATAAAATTTAGTAAAAATAAAAAAATATCGCTGTAATACAGAAGAAACCGTGAAAATGGCTGATTTTGATTGATTCTAGAGACCAATAGTGGAATAGTCAATTGAAAATTTCTGCATGATACATTCGAAACTGTCAAAAATCGCGAGTGCTGGAAGACACAGTATTTATACCGGGTGAGTGAAATTCGAGTAGATGCATATAGATTTCGGAAACGGTAAGAGCTACAAAGAGGGACGAGAGAGTTAAATGAAGGCAAAATTGCGCAATTTCATGTCTAACAAGATGGTGTCCCCATAAAATTTTCAACATTTCACGTTGGAACCCTGAAGACAAGGACATATCGGAAAATAAAATGGCAAATGGCATTTTAGGTATTCGGGACATGTGTTAAAGTGGGTTCATTTCACTCGGAATTCGTAAAATCTGCAGCAATTTCAAAATTGACAGATGTCATAATTGTGTAATATTAGAAGATAGCCGAAGAGACTCTCGACAGGTCGAGAAGAATTTCTGAAACAAAAGCGCATCAGCAGTAAGTACACCATCTACTTATTTCCATCATTGTTTCATTGTACCAGGTGATTCAATAAGGGTGATGAGGTACTGTATCTCAGGAACTCATAAAGTTAATGAAACAGGCCCCTTTGCAAAGGCTATGACAACCAGAGTGGCATAGAAAGTTTTTTATGTTATTCACCAAACCTTCGTTTCTTGAAGACCTTGTTAGCAAAGTTATTAGTTCCTGAGATACAGTAACTTGTTACCCTTATTGAATCACCTGGTACAACTGACAAAATTAATGAAGGACCCCCGCACCATTTACATTGAAATCTTGTCTACTGTGAAATTTTATGAAAATCTAGGATTGGATAGATCAAATCATGCTAAACAAGAATTGTCCTTTGGTCCAAGGTCCGTTTATGCCCGTTAAAAGAAGTTATAAGCTCTTGAAGCCAAACGAGATAACCTCTACCAGAATAGCACATCCTGTGTGTAATATGGTTATGGCTAATATGATATTTTCGAGTCTTCAGATAATGGTCATTCATGTTATATCAGTAAAAGTAATTGAGCAAACGCGTATTATTTTGTTCAAATACATATAAGATGACTTATCAGAATAGGTTTGGTTGCTTTATATGCGATAGCGAAGGCAATATTAATGCTATAGCACGCATCAATCGAGATCAAAATGTTGAGCGGCAAAGCAATCGCAATACATCGCCGACACGTTCTAGCAAGAAAGGATATACCCCTAATCGATCGCACTCGTTTATTTCAGTACTGTAATTGATCTACATAGAGGAACTTGGAATTCGCAATATCGTTCATTCTATGAACCAGAATGTTGTCTTTCCCATCCATGCAAGAGTTTGCATATTTTGTGGCGCAGTTAATAATTTACTTCACTTATCATTGGTTGCTAGAGTCAATGTATATATTGTAAACAATATTTTTATCCCTGAAAATGCCCAATCTTGTCTGGAACATGTCAACGCTGATGGTATAATATAGCGACCATCGATTGGTGGTTTACATGATATGTAGTCCCTGGTCTAGACTTGCAACGTATTTGAACAAAGTAATGAGTTTTTGCTCAATGACTGTTACTGTCATAACATGAATGACCATTATCTGACAACTCAAAAATATAATATTAGCCAAAACCATAAATTACACATGATGTGCTGTTCTGGTAGAGGTTATCTCGTTTGGCTTCAAGAGCTTATAACTTTTTTAACGGGCATAACGGACCTTGGGCCAAAGGACATTTCTTGTTCAGCATGATTTGATCTATCCAATCCTAGATTTTCACAAAATTTCACCGTTGACAAGATTTCAATGTAAATGGTGCGGGGTCCTTTCAGTAAGTTCTTGAAATGTATATAAGTGAAATTTGTAATTTAATTTCATAACAGTGACATTTTCCCAACCCTACCTGCGACACGCTGAAGAAATGCGAGATCAACCTGCCCTTGGCCGTGACTACTATGAAGCGCAACGCCAACGCCATGTCGTTCAGCAGGGACTCGTGGCTGTTGTGGATGCCCTTCTGCAGGAGCTGCGACAGCTTCCAGCGGTGCTGCTGGCCGGGAAAGTTCAGGGACTCAACCTCGAAAATGCTGGAATTTCGAAATGTTTCCTTCCGTTCATTTGGAGGTTGCAGAACTTTCATTGAATTGTTACACATTTATTAGCCTTATCAAATGGTGTTCAATAAAGCTAGGATCCGGTAGAAGGTTTCTCAACGGGATCATGTGTTTCTAGGAGTCCGGAAGCGAATCTGAAGTTTGCTGCCTCCTATCAGGACCGGCACAGGTCAAAAAATGCAGAAAAACCTGAAAATTTTTTCCATTTTCCGGTCATATCTTGCAGACGACTTTCCGGACGAAAAATATTACAGTATTCAAAGTTGAAGAGCATGCGTCGAATGATGCATTTATCTTCCTTATTCCCAAATTCATAAGGTCGCTATCGTCATTCGAGAAAATGTCAAAATTTACTACAAGGCAGAATTTTAAAATCGATCTAAAAAAAATTGTTCTAACCGTCATTCGGTTGCCCCCCTTAAGAGCAACCCTCAGAAATCTTCGAGAGTCTTGTGCGAGCAAGGAATGACGGGGGTCTTACCTTTTAACGTGTGATCCCAAACATTTTCTTGGGCCATCAGAAAAATTTTTGCAGTCGATGGGAATCGAACCCACGACCGGCAAGCGAATGCGGATTAGAATATAGAAACTCTGTCTGACTGTCTGCACGACTACCTGGCCCCTTCTATCTCGAAAATGGCGAATGCTATCGAAACTAAACAGGAGTTCCATTTATGAGTAAAAATGTTGAGATTTCCATATTTTCTTAGCACACTGCCGAAAATTTCATTAACAAAAAAGTTAGGAGATAACGTGCCCATAGGCCCACCTATTTCCCATGCCCCTGATAAAACATTTTGAAAAATTCTTACCATTTCCAAATCGGGTATAAAATGTATACGAAATTTGATTATTTTATCCCAGAGGGTTTCGAAAATATTTACATGAAACCACATCTCGGACTATCCTTCAGATGGTCATAACCCCCCAGGAGGCCATTTCTAGACCCATGTTAATGTGAACTTTTTACTATTTTCGCTCCTAGGATCTGTGGTTGAAATATTTCTTTGTAATTTCGGGACAGCCTGTATATTGATCCAAATACCAATTTTTTGAGCCCCGTCAACTCAAAATTTTATGCTTTTTAACTTGTATTCTATGGACAAGTTATTCACGTCAAGTAGATAGCTGTTTTCAAATCACAGTCGTCTAAAAGTGAGTATATTGCAGTTTTCACAAAAGTTTGTGAAAACTGGCTTTTCTCGAATGACGATAGCGACCTTATGAAATTGGGAATGAGGAAGAAAGCGACGTCAATCGGCGCAAAATTTTATACTCTTCAACTTTGAATACAGTGATATTTTTCGTCCGGTAAGTCGTTTGTAAGATATGAGCGGAAAACCGGAAGAACGCCGAAAATGTTGAGGTTTTTGCGTTTTTCGACCTGAGCTACTTAGGCAGCAAACTTCAGATTCGCTTTTGGCCCCCTCGAAACATATGATCCTGTTGGGAAATCTTCTACCGGATTCATGTTTTCGAAAAAATACCATTCGATCGGACTTTATCTACATTTGATATCTTAAGAATGGCATACAAAGCGACAAAGATTCAAAATTAAAATAAAAAATATGAATGTATAACGATAATTGGCGCCGCAAAGATTACAGGTGCGCCTCTAATGTCACAAGTTGAATGCTTTTCAACTACGAATCTCACACGGAACTTCATCGTACACTCGTCGTACTGCTTCCATATTGCTCGCATGAAACGCTTCTGCTCAATGCGCAGGAACTCACAAAATGTCGTTCATGACATCGAGTGAAGTCAGTGGTGTTCGGAAACATTAGTAAGAGTGAGTAAAATATATGACAGGTCCTGAATGCGCACGCTTCATCAAATCCAAGTTCGATCTCGTGATTGAATGAGCTGTGATCTTATGGCATCAGCGGTCTTGTTAGTAATTTATGTCGATGCTGAAGGCTCAAGTGAGAATGAGAGCTAACATTTTCAATCTCACCAGTTGGCGCTACTAAAACATGAGGTCAATGTCAAAGCCAAAAATACCAAAATTTTATCGGGTAGCCCTGGCTGTGGCTGTTTAATCGAGAATATTCGGTAAAAACGATGTAGAATATTTAAACACACACAACAACTTCAAGTTATGGAAAGACTTTAACAGACTTAGGTTTTTTCACTATCGTTGTTGAACTTTAGTATCAGTTCTTTGCCCTCACGTTTCAGTGGCGCGATGTAGTGGACAATACAGCTATCATTTTTGTGATGCCAATATACTATACAACTATATGCAGTATTTTAAAACTTTTCGCGAGATTTTCTAGGAGTATTTCAAAAGAATGGGTTATTCAGAACACAAGAACTGAAATTTAAATAATTCAAACCTTCATAAATGTATTTTCAAAATCTGAAAAGACTGAAAAAAAAAGAGGAACTACCTCAAGCTGTTTACAAATTAGAATAACACTTTAAAACCAGTTAGTAATCTTTTCTCTTATAGAAACGTTGGAGTCCAATAAATTTGAACTACTTAAAGGCGGATTTATGCACGCCGCTTATTCATTAATCTGTAGTTTCTCAATCATTAACGATTTCACTAATGAGTTAAAACTTGGTATTTTCGTTCAATCATTTATGCTCCCAAATTAGTTTTTATCTTCCATTAACTGTTCTCTAAAAGATGACCAACTTTCTATTAACGACAAATACAAGTAAAAGTGTGACTTGCGCAGGCCCGATGCCGTCAGAAGTCAGGCATACAATTTCTTCTTATTATTTTTTCGAAATGTGGCTGAATATTCACAAAATTCTAGTTGCCTGTTCAAATTTAGGAGGTTAGAACACCAATATTTTCATCGGGCCAAGTACGAAAGTACGCTGAGGACTCATGAAAATAAGTTTGAAGTTGAAAAAAGGTAGTGCATAAAGGCATCAAAGTTCTTAAATAAAAATAAATTAAATGACGGTTAATGAAAGCAATAGATTGATGAACAAGTGGTGTGCATAAATCCATCTTAATCCTATAGAGTGGAGAAGTTAAGAGTGTCGCACAATCCAAAATAGGAAAACCAACTAAAATTTGTATTCCTCGTATTTGAACTTAATTGTTGATGAAAAGCTATATTCCAAATTGAAGTGCGATGTTTTTCATCATAAGAACAAGAGTCAACTATGTAAACTGATTTATGGAACCTAATAACCTAATATCTGATTTTTATAATATGTTCAATTGTGATGTCACAAAATTAATATGCAGAAGAATTTGGGACATTTTTTAATCAAATCTTGATCAAACCCAGTCTAGGGTGAACGCCCTCTAACGATCTATTCATATTTCTAAAGAAATCTCTGTGATTTATTATATAATTTTCACCCCCCAAGTATGCAGTGGGCTCGAATTATGTGTAAAAAAGTCTAACATCACCCTCATCAAATAAAGTTTCATAAAGTCAAAAACAGTATGTCAAAGTCTTATGATACTATATACAAATGAATTATTAGTCAAAAATTATTTTCACAGATGAGCAATATAAAAATAAAATCAGAAATAACACTAAAGACTAAAGCAAAAAAAATCACAAAACACTGTTATCAGATGTTGCCAATTAATCAACAAATGCAACAGAATAGATTTAGAGACACACTTCACAAATCAAACCAACGTACCCATGTAATCTAATACTTTCTAGCTGTTCCTGGTTCAATCTTTTCGGTTTCCCGAATTTGTCCTTGTGCAAGCTTTACAGAATAATGGGTTAGGTATGTGGAAGATGACATATCCTATTAGTTGAAATTTGTATATGGAGAGTTAAATATCTACCATCAAACTTCAGAATTAGAGAATTACACTACAGAAAAAAAACTCAAAAGGTAAATTTTAAAATGTTTTCTCATTTAACGTGGTCCAGTTTGTTAATAGATCTCCGAAAATTGAGGATCTGATTTTTTTTGTACCATGAGGGGATTTACAGGATGGTATATAAATTACATATTTGTAGTTGAAAAAATTGGTAGAACTTTTTTTGAGTTGGCCACGGACCAGATTCAATAACTCCTTCAATTTTCTTACTCATTTTGAAACAATTTTCCAGTTATTTCACTTAGGGGAAGGGGCAAAAATTACAGTATGTTCGACTTGACATCAATTTCCTCTCAACACCCTTAGCTCAACTTCGATATATTTTTTTCAAAAATCGCAGCTTGATTCTTCAGGAATAAATTTGCCAATGACAGTTTTTGAGAGATTCGTTTTTAAATCACTAAATCACTCAAAAATTGAAATTCAGCAAGTTTATAAGAATAACTACAATTATTACCACATTTATTTGTCACAAAAAACACTAAGCTACTTTGTATACTGCAGGCTCTGTCTCCTTGTATTTTGACCCCTACCTACAGTTCCAACTATACGAGGTGGAAGGAAACTTCGAATATGAATGTTGTAGGGTTTCATCTGTACTATCTTTTGGCACCCCTTAGAAAAACAAATGCAAATCGCAAAATAGAAAAGAGTCCAAATCAGTTTTTTCAAATGGAACACTCTGTATATTTTCAACTGTTGTGAAATTAAGCCGTTTTCAGCTGAATTCTTGCTGCGCTACTGACATTTTTGCAAAATTTTCATAATATGATCTTACTGACAGAGTCAAAAAATGCCTGGTTTGTTTCCATGATATTTCCGTCGTGCCCACAGCCATCTAAATGTTATTGGCAACTTTCATTCAATGCTAAATAATTCAAAAATGGCTTGAGGAGACATGAGCAAACTTAGCAAACTATATATGTGAACGGAAGAAAAAGATCTTTCACCAGAGTTGAAAATATACAGTGTTCCATTAAAAAACTTATTTGGTCTTTTTTTTTATTTTGAGATTTGCATTTGTTTATTAATTGAGGAGTTCCAAGAGATAGTACAGATGGACCCCTACAACTTTCACATTTGAAGTTTTTTTCCACCTCCTACAGTTGAAGCTGTAGTTAGGGATCAAAATATACATATTAAGACTTTTTGCAGAATGTCTTGCCTATAAAACAGGAAACAAAGAACCAGAAAAGAAAATCAGAAGAAACCGTTGAAGCTGTATCCATTTCAATTTTGATAGTTTTTTTAACATTTTGATAGAAGTTATTCAAATATCAACTTTGAAATATCTTCGAATTCAGAAATAATGTTTTCATATTTTCTTCTCAAAATTTGTATTGTAACTATATTAATGAGTTCCAAAGTCTTGTTATTGTTATTTGTTAGGAATCCTTGGTATTCACTTCTTGACTTCCTGTTGTAGACCCACCAATCCTCTTGCCTGTGATACGCCTATGTGGCTCGGATTGATGAGTGTAACATGACAGGTCTTAAATGCGCATGCTTCATGGTCTCTAGTTCAATCTCGTAAATGGATGAGCTTATGTCTTTTCGGTTTTTCGACATTTTCTGGCAAATAAAGTGTCTATAAAAGACTTCAAGACACCCATACTGAATTTTCTTTAGTCTAAATATATTCTAGTCACGAATTTTCATCCATCAGAAACTGTCGTCAACTCACCCCCTTTCTCTGATATACTCCAACTGCTTTCCCGTCAGCTTCCTGGGCTCCCCCTTGCTGTCGACAGCGACTGCGTCCAGTTCGTCGAAAGAGGGCGCGATGAAGAGATCGCGCAAATGATATTTCAACTTCGATCGGCCCAGAGAGCCGTCCGACAGCTGCGACGTTATGAAGAGATCGCTGTGCGATACTGGACTAGGTAGAACTGAAACGAAACAACACGTTATACAGGTTGTCCCTCCGTAACTGAATCGATCAATATATGGAAAAGTAGGGCGGATTTGAAAATTTGGTGGCTTACTACTGGTGCATTTGTGCTGCAATCGCCGGTAAAAGCATACCTAATGTAGTTTATTCAGCAAATCAAAACAAAGATGGTATATACTCTTTCAACACCCAGAGTGTCCTCGTTTTAAATAACAAAACTAATTTCATTAATTTCACACCAATAGGTGTCAAACCAGACTACAGCCTACTGCTGAAATGCGACGGTGGAAGCATCATTCCAGCTGAGGAAGTAGAGTTCTGGGTCTATGTCTTGATCCTCATCTAGCATGGGACAACCAAATAGCTCATTTGATATAAAACCTAGTGAGCAAAAATTTTGCCCTAATACAATTGAGAAATCGAGTAAATCTCGACACCATCAATAGTATATTAAATACCAAGGTGTAAAGAGATGCATTCCTGTCGTGAGATTAGATAGTTAACCGAGACGCAAAGCGTCGGGGTTAGCTAAGAGCTCGAGGCAAGAATGAAATTCCTACTGAGGTTTTGTATACCATTTCATTTACAACCATCATATTTCGATCAAGATTAATAAATCTCTGTTTCGTTCTAAACATACTTAAGATATTACATAAGTGAAGGCGGGAAGTAGTGATGGCGGGTAGTAAGGGAGGGAAGTAGAGGTGTGTAATGTGACACTTCCCAACCTTCAATGACGTTAGTGATGACAACATTACATATATGGTTGTATATAATAGCTATTTATATATCAAGGGTGGAAAGGTATATATTTCCTGTGAAGTCCTCCATAGGAGGAAATGAACCTTTGCTCCCACGATGTATATATATATGATTGTATCAACGAACGCATTTTTTTGAAGCATCATTCATTAAATTGTGCTTCAGGCGGTCTATCTCTCGACCCAAATCATTATACATTACGCCATGGGCAATTGACGGCATTTGAACGTAAGTCAATTTGACGCTTCTGTCATCATGAATTGATTTGTATATTGTGTCGCTTCATTTGAAAGTTTTGATTAGAATTAGTTTCGGAATATGAGGAAGCGTATGATATCATTGTAATTCAAACAGAATATTATTGTTATTTGTTTCATATTAGTGATAAAGAGGCTGATTACTTGGATTGCACCGATTTTACAGGTATATCACCGCCAAAGGGTATATATGGGGTATATGCTGAAGCCAATTCATTTTACCTCCCACGGGAGTTGATATTTTTTCCTCCCGTGGAAGTAAATTGACCACTTTGGTTCCTTAAATGAGGGAGAAAACGACTACTTTCAACTCAGTGGGTAGATAAAATATATTACTATGCTGCAGTTCACTTGATACTCACATATGGGTTCATTTCCTGAGATAATGCTACACCTCAATCTTAGCACTTCCCGAAGGAAGCATTTTCGCGACACGGGTATTCATATTCATAATGTTCAAACATGTGGGGAACGAAATCCTTATTGTACTAGAGCTGCAGGTAAAATTTATGTTCCACCGTACTCACTAACCCAAGTGAAGAATGGTCCTAAAATTACAGCCACTACACTGTAGAATCACTTACCCCGTACCATTACTCAGATTAGCTGCTTCAAACATTTTAAGTCAAAATCAAAATTTTATTGAAAGAAAACCCCTTTTTACTACAATTTTAACATGATTAATGTACCTAGATAATGTTTTGTAAGTGATGTTATTACTGTTAGTATATATAATGTCATTTGGCCCTGTCCCATTTTATTCTATTTTTCTATTATAGTTGAGAAGCCGTTTTTGACTCAAACAAATATTTCATCAAAAATGTTCATTGTCTGTATCTCTAATAAAAGTGCATATTAGTTTTGAGCAGACTTCATTGTTTCAGTTTAGGAATAGTGGTCTATTGAAAAAAAAACTGGAACATTTCAAATTTCCAAACTTTTATAGGCATTTCTTTTCAGCGTTCCCAAATTGGAACATGAGCCGTTAAGAGGTTAACAGTAGTATGCTACGAAATTTTTAAATCTGCCATATTCATAGTTTTATTGACGCCCTCTATAGCAATTTACACTATTGTGATTACTATTCCACCATTTCAAAATCGAGGTATTTCTACAATATAGTAAACATACGCCAATAATTCATATATTTCAACATATTTCAATCAAAGTACATTCCGTCATGAAAATGATGGAAATAAGAAGATGGTGCGCATTCTCGGCCATTTTTACGTATTGAAAACATAAGAAAAATCGACCGCTTACTATGATTTCTCTACGTCTCATCAAGCGAGAAGTTACATGGCTGTGATGATGAGTGTGACGAGTGAAAATAAAATTGCAAATGGCATTTTAGAGTTAATTTCACTCGAAAATCGAAAATCTGCGGCAATTTCAAAATTGACAGATGTCATAATTGTCGAATATCGCCGTCTATTAGAAGATCGCCGAAACCATTGGTCTCGAAACTCTCGAGAGGTCGAGAAGAATTTCTGAAACAAAAGCGCATCAGTTAGTACACCATCTACTTATTTCCATCATTGTCATGAATCATTATCAAGTCAAATCTCCTCAGAGGCTTCCGACTTGCGAGTAAGGATGCACCGAAGCCTCAGTTTTGCTTCGGTATTCGGCCAATCCGGCCTATTCGCGATAGAAAATAAGCGTACGCCACCTATCGAAGTTTTTGAAAGCTGTCAAAGCGGTCTGTTTACTTTGTTTTCATTGGTTCGTATTTGTTTTTCGTTTGTGATTATTGGTCAATCCTTCAAAACGAACCGCTCAGAAGTGTTCAAATTGTTACCGTCAGATGGGCCGACCTGTTATTTTTTATCGTGAATTTTCAACGAACTGCTTCAGCGCTTATTGACGAGTTTTTCTTTGGCTAAGCAGGTGGGTGATGAAGATGGTGACGATGAAGATCGAGTGTAACAGGATCATAGTACACCAAACCATTTTGATTAACTCAATTTGGTAATAAATCAATAAATTTTACATCTTTGCCAGGATTCATTTTTTTCAGCATTATACCTCTCGATATAAGTACTCATCAGACTTGATCAAAATGTTCATGACACACTCAGATGGAAAATCGAAAATGAAATTAAAATAAATATTGTAGAAAAGTCGGCGACCTTTCGCTTTTCTATTGATACTTCCACGGGAAATGTTCCTGCTATAATTCCATCACTAGTAATACCAGTCAAACGAACAAGACGGGCCCAGTCAGTACATCCTTTCGTCGAATTCTTTGCCAATGGAAGTATTACCAAGAACCTTTAACCTCTCGGAATTCAAACAACATTCCAACACCTACCTCCTCTCCCTATTCTACCTAGGTACTCAGGATGTTCCACGAACATTACAGGAATTTTCTTTCGTGCGCTCCAAGAGATTTAAAAAAATCGGTAGCAGATATTTATTTCATGTAAGACGGTAGTAGAGAAAAATGTTAATATCTCAATTATCTCTTACAATCAAACACATTTATTACTTGTATGAAGGAAATATCATCCAGTTGGATGCTGTTTCTAACTCTAATAAGAGTACATAGATGATCTATTAAAAAATACTGAAAGATTTCAAATTTCAAAACATTTATACGCATTTCTTTTCAGCGTTTCTACACACACTGGCAAAATTAGGGGAACGGACAAAATTTACACTAAGTTTGACATCAATTTTCTTTCGAACCAATCGCTCGATCTAAATTTTTTTTTCACGAATTGTGGCTTTATTCTCCACGAATACATCTGAGAAATAATTACCTTCAAACGATTCGTCCCTATAACATATACAGGGGTGTAAAGAAAGTACGGATTTTTCGGTATTTTTCAAGACATCCTGTGGAGTGAACCACTGATAATTGAAACGATTTCTCAACACCAAATTGGAGCCCAATCTATTCCGAATATTTTCGTTTTTTATTCATCTTGATATCTCAATTATTCAAGAAAATACAGAGTTTCAAAGGAAGGGTGGATATTGGTATCAATTTTACCACCTCGAAACTGTGTGGATCTGAAAATGTGTCGTTTCTTAAGTTGTTTCTGTGATAATTTCCCCTTCAAGTTGAATATTGCTCTTATTTTCACTTATTAGTCTAAACAAGATTTCTTAGAAGTATACATATATGATTAAACAGAGATGTAATTTTTTCAAAGCCTCATTCAATAACAATTACATTCACATAACGAACTATACGGATTCAAAACACCAACAATAATTTCAATAACGTGTGTGACCTCCACGCGCTCTTATTACAGCAGTCATCCGTCTGCTCATGCTTTCGATGACATTATCGATCATTTCTTGAGGAAGATTATCCCAAATCTCAACCAGAGCTGCTGCTACTTGCTCGGGATTTTGTACAGCGAGAGTTCTGGACCCCAATCGTCTACCCAACATGTTCCATACATGTTCGATTAGATTAAGGTCTGGCGAACATGCAGGCCAATCCATTGCTCGTATTTCGACTTTATTTAAAAAGCTGGAGACTGAACGAGCCACGTGAGAGCGGGCATTATCGTGCATTAACAAGAAGGTTTCTCCGATATGGGGGGGAGGCGAATGGTATGACATGCTGTTGCGACATTAATCACTACCAACTCTGTTCGTGCCCCTAAACATATTCCACCCCAAACCATAACTAAACCTCCGCCATAGGAGACAGAAGCAGTAAAATTAAATTGTTCATTTTGTTCACCTCGGCGGCGATATAGTCTTTCCCTTTTCCCTGCCATCTATTGAATTGATGCAGAAGCGGCTCTCATATATAAAAAGAACGTTGGCCCACTGGTCATTTTCCCAATTTACATGCTGCCTAGCCATAGTCCGATGACTTATTCAACTTCCACGCACTTCGTTTCTCAATAATTGGGGTACGGTTGTACGTCTGTTTGGTTGTGTTTGAGAGACTAAAAATCGGACATCTCTAGCCGTGGTTGACCGTTTTCTTCCTTGGCCTGGTATCTTCACGTACTCTCCTGTTTGCCTCCAACTTCTCAATGAATCGTAGATTTTGATTTTTCCAGCATGCCAGCAACATCAATAAACGATCTACCATTTTCAATTAATGCTATACAGTCCTCGCCACATCAATAGGAGTCAAATCTCCCATGTTGAATTTTCATTAATCAAATTTATGAATTTTGAAATGTGAATCGCTTGACTTTGACAATAATTAATGACATAAACAAAATGGCCAACGTTGATTAACAAGAATAGCATTGCACCAAAAGAACATTGAAGCAACATTTATCACACCTGCATATTCATGAGAGTATTCGTATATGTGTCTTTAAACAGTAAACCGATAGGTAAAACTGTGAACAATTCTCATCTTGAAGTGAAAATCCTCTCAGAAACAAGTTAAAAAAATGACACGTTCTTCTCCCCAGTTTGAGTTTCGAGGTGGTAAAATGAATACCAATATCCACCACTTCTTTGAAACTCTGTATTCTCTTGAATAATTGAGATATCAAGATGAATAAAAAACGAAAATATCCGGAATAGATTGGGCTACAATTTGGTGTTGGGAAATCGTTTCAATTATCAGTGGTTCACTACACAGGATGTCTTAAAAATACCGAAATATCCGTACTCTCTTTACACCCCTGTATATGATATAAAGACGAATCGTTTGAAGGTGTTTTTTTCTCAGATGTATCCGTGAAGAATGAACTATAATTCGTTAAGAAAAAAGTTCAAATCCAGTGATCGGTTCGAGAGAAAATTGATGTCAAACTTAGTGTAAATTTTGCCCGTTCCCCTAATTGTGCCAGTGTGTGTAGTTGGAACATGAGCCGTTAAGAGGTTAAAGCAACTTTTCTGAATAGTAAGTAAGTAAGTAAGTAAGTAAGTAAGTAAGTAAGTAAGTAAGTAAGTAAGTAAGTAAGTAAGTAAGTAAGTAAGTAAGTAAGTAAGTTAGTAAGTAAGTAAGTAAGTAAGTAAGAAAGTAAGTAAGTGAGTAAGTAAGTAAGTGAGTAGGTAAGTAAGTAAGTAATTTATTCGACGATAATGATGATAATAATAAGAAATAGACTCATTTGCCCTGAAAAGGCAAAAATTAGCTGAATAGCTACTCTTGAACCCTTATTAACATTTTGAGTTTACAGAATAAAAAAATATAAAATGAAAAGATTCATACAATGTTATTAATATAGTATATGTATAGATAAAAGAGAAAAAATAAAAATGCAAAAATCTGAAAATGTATGTTATATCGGCGTAGATAAAAGGAAAAAAGGAAGTTGATCTAAAAAGTAACAATGTGACTAGTCTTGTTCATTCAGCAGTTCATTTTTGACGACTTTTCTAAATATATTCAATGGTGTTGTTAATTCTGGTTTGGGAGAATTAAAAAGTTCTACAGCATTATAGGTGAAACTGCGTTCCAACAGAGCAGTCAAATGGTGTGGCATGTTGAGTACCTGTGAATGTCTGGTGTTAAGATTATGTAAATTATTTCTGAAGACCAGTTTATGGAAAAGGTATGGCTAGGTTATACACAATTATACACAATTGCATATTAATGGCACGTCACAAAAAAATTGTATATTGTTTGAATTTAAGATACAAATAACAATGCACACAAAATACATGGCAACTATCATTCACGAAAACATAGAAAACAAAAATAAGAAAATCACAGTCGGTCACCCGATACTCACCCAACGGGAACGTCTTCCAGTGGTACAAGAACTGCTCGGCCACCCTCCTGATGTTGTCGACGAGCTGCTCCACCTCGGGCGGCGCCCCCTCCAGCGGCGCTACCTCGAAGCGCAGAGGCTCGCGCTCCGGCCGCCCAGCCTCCTGCCCTCCGCCGATGATGCCGCTGTCGTTGGAGCGCAGCGGGTGCAGCGAGGTCGGCCTAGCGGGATGCGTCGGGGGGCAGACATCGGCCGGCCGGAAATCCAGTCTCAGAGACGCTGGAATCGAAAGATGCAGGTTTAGTGACGCTCATTTACACTTATCATGCTCCCCCCCCTCCTTAGAAATTCTCGTCTTTTATAAAAGGGATATACAGAATATACGCGAAAGGAATTGTTCATCGTTTTACATGAATTGCATACTGAAAACGGTTTTATTTTGAGCGTTATTTTGAGTTCGTGTGTATTTTTTAGGTCTTGTGCTGTGGAAACTCAGAATATACGCCGAAGGAATTGTCTGTCTTTTCACATGAATTGCACACTGCAAATGGTTTCATTTTGAGCATTATTTCCCATTTGTGTGTATTGTTTTGGTTTTTTGCTGTGGAAACTCACAAAAACTGCGAAAACTGATGTGGATATTTTATAGTCAGACAGAAATCCAATCAAAGAGAGGCTGGAATCGGAAGATGTGGGCTGAGTGGCGCTTATTTACCTTCATCATCATCCCTCCCCTAAGAGACTTACGTTTTTAATAAATGGGATATATAGAATATATGCCAAAGGAATTGTTCATCATTTCACATCCTAAAAATGATTTTCAATGGATACCATTAAATATCATCACATATGTTTTAACTAAGTGATTGGTTAGAAAAAGCACATGTATTGTAACAAACCATTACCCATTGCATTAAAAAATGGAAAGGAATCGTTTATCATTCCACATAAATTGCAAACTGAAATATTATTTTATTTTGAGCATTATATTGCGTTCGCCTGTATTGTTTTGGTATGTTGCTGTGGAAAATCGACACTTTCACAAACTGAAAAAGCTGATGTGGGCTTTTTTAAAAGGAGTTTCCTGTTATAGCTCAGCTCAGAGTATCTCAGTCTGAATTCCTATTACATGTTATATCCCGGCTAAGGTATGTCAGCCCCCAAGTCATAACTTCTAATTTTCCTTCACTGTTATATCTCAGTATAGTGTTTATAATACCAGCCCAGGTAAGGAGGTACTAGAGTCCCTGTATATACCTTAGACAAGAGTCCGGACACAGCTATACTTCTGTCCTTTTATGTTTTCAAAAAATGCATTGATGATTGAATAAAGGAATAAGACATATATATCGAGCACTGTCCTTTCAATTCCCCTAGTATCAATGATTGTCAGAAACAATTTAGAGGGTTAGATTATTTGTCAAACCGTTCATAGCCGTAGGTAGAAGTGAAAAATAGGGCTATTTTAACTAGAATAACTATTAGATTCTCAAATAATGAACAACAAGGTGTTCAAATTTCGAATCGATAATTTTCATAATCAATTCCTGAGATATGGCTAATGCAAATTTTCGTCAACAAATATTTCAATTCTTTAGATATAAGGAAGATGATTTAAGTGTTCTATGTGGTATCACATAAAGCCAAGAAAATATAGTTATTTTCTGCTGGGATATAAAAAAATAGAAGATAAATATAATTGTTTCAATATAATTTTAATTGTGTCGGTTTCCCACCTTCCTGCAGTCTACATTCACCTGTTAATTTTGAATTTGATCTGAATTAAAAACAACGTGGACTGATGACATAGTACATTGCAATTTCTCTGAATCTTCTAGTTTTGATTTTAAACTTTCAATTTCTTTCCGCATTATCTCTTTCTCATTTTCTTTCTCTGCGATCGTATCATTCAGTAATTCCCAATACGATGACGACGGAACTCTTTTTTTGAACGTCTCTATTTTATAAATTGACGGCACAGCATCAGACTCTTTCAATTTGAAATCCATCAGCTTGAAAGAATCTCTATCAAAATGTGCCTAAAATTCATCTTATTTGTACTGTTCCTACAAGTAAATTCGAACATTCACCTCACATATTGCGGATTTCTTGAAATTAATTTTCCATTCTGGACGTTTCATTGCATTCTTCCACGACATTATCTTTAAAGGATCATTCGGAAAATTGAATAACTTGAATCCCTTTTCGAATGAACTATCGCAATAATGTTCGCAGCAGGACATTAAAATAATTTGAAATGCTAAATTTTGGCGGTCAAAAAGTTTGAAAGTGACAGTGACAGGAATTCGAAATGATCAAAAAAGCAGGCGGTACGACTATGGTGTTTCGTCACATTGTCAGGTGGGCAAATCAAATGAAACAAAACATTAAAAACCCCAACAGCTGTCAGTTTTGTGTCCAGACTCTTGTCTAAGGTATATACAGGGACTCTAGGAGGTACTATCAACTGACATCACAAATTGTTTGTAATTATCTTCAATTTGATATTGACTCATTATGTCATGAGAATAATTTGACAGTTATGATCAACGAATGAAAGATCAAAAAAATCTTGCTGCTCTACACTAAAATCTTCATGTTGGTACTGTGGAAGGATATCAAAGAGTGATTTCATTTTTATGTTCTCAGTGATCAAAAATGAGTAGACAATGGATGGTTTATATGGAAACATGGCAAATACCCTTATGAGGGAAGATTATTGATACAAACTTGGCGTTTATAATACCTCTCTGAAAAAAAGGTAGTATTCTACTGGGTTAGGAATATGGTAGAGAAAATTGTTGTCCTTCAGCCTACCTAGCCAATTTTCATTGAGATTTATGATAAGTCAATAAATGTGGAAGTGAAAGCAATGTTACCAAAATTTTCAGACTCTGTAGGTCCATAACAAACATCTACTTGATACCAGAAAAACCATCCTAAAATGCCACAGGATGGTTTTTCATTAAATATAATCCCTAAGAGCTCAGAAGTGAATTACTTACATCTGGAGGCATTGGACCCTTTTTCAACCTCCCTCTCTGTAACCCCAGATTTGGACCTATAGTGGCCATGCTTCTGTTGGTCAGAATTGATGCTTTGACCAGAATCGGATTTTTTTTGAGGAAAATTTCCGGAGCTGTGGCGGTTGTGGCCACTGGACTCAGATCGCCTGTGCCCTGGTGGGAGTTTTGATCCAGAGCCAGGTCTAGAGGTCATTTCAAAGATTTAGTCTGAACTGGACATGTAAACGCCAGTAATTTCAACTGAAAATCGAAAATAAGTACAAAAAAATTCAGAAAAATTCTAATTGTTGAAACATTAGGTATACTAAATAGATACCTAGTTGATTATATTGGTGATGAAAGGAACAGTTAAATAATACTGATATAATTGTCCCTAAAAACTTTATGAAAACAACAGATAATTGATTTCTGATAATGAAGTCCAATTCTGAAGAAAATGAAAAAAATGGATGAGGTGAGATAGATTAAAAGAAACAAATTAAATATGCAATTGAAGATAATGAACAAAACATGAATCAAAAACATCTCAATTAGCATGATATGAGTCAAGAGATCAAGTACAGTTCAAGACAAAAAAAACAACAACTTAATAACTACAGATTTTACATCAAAGTATTATTCATTGAAATTTCTACAAAGAAGAAAAATAGTTCTGAGGAATTGTTAACAACCTCCATAACCTTGGCAGAACCATTGGAATTTTCAATTATGCCATTATTTGTTGCCTACTTATTGCTAGTTGATTGCTGTAACAACAAATTTCTAGCTCATCAAATTAATAAAAAAATCCATCTTTGTGCTAAATTCATATGAACCTTTGAGAGAAACTGATGCTACCAAAATTTGTCACAAGTTCATCACTAATTAATTACCAATTAAAAAAATGAGTTGGTCATCTTTCTTTTTCCTACTGTATTTTGGTAATCAATTAATGATAAATAAGGGGGAAACATTATTTTAATACCTATTGTTCTTTGAAAAAAGTTGATAGAAATGGGATATGTAGAAATCTAATCATTTGTAAAAAGATGTGCGGATAAAAATTTCAATAAAAATATAGAATTAATTATTTAAAACCCAATGTAAAGCTCCTGTAGAAATACTGATTACAATTATTGATTGTGATAAGTTTTAAAAAAATCATGTTAGGTATTTAGTTGTGAATTTTTTAATGTTCCTGATAAAATACATAATTTATTTTGAAAATGAATGTATGTATAAGGAGAGAGATTGGAGTGGTACATAATATGATGTAACCATTAGGTACTAGGATTGGTACTCATTGCATTGTTTTGTTCAAATTGGAAGTTACTCCTAAACTGGCAAAAGAAAATAGTAACAAAACTCACACAGAAACCATATTATGAACCAACAACCTCTCATTAGGTCAATTATACATATACATACATACCAACTAACTACACACACCTACAAATATGTACTACTACTACAGTTATGCATGAACTCAGAACTGTAAAAATTTGATCAATATGATACCAAGAATTGCTTTGGCAATTGAATCAAATTTTACTAATTTTACATTTCAAATCATTAAATCATCACAAAGCTTATCTACTTAATTCTGATATTTGGTCTTATATCAACTATCACAGACACAATATCACAGATAAGTATAGGCCATCTGAGATGGTCCATCCTTAGTTCAACAAATGAAAAACTGAAGACTGTTTGCTTCTATATGATGGCTAGACCTTCATCTTGCCTTCATCATTTTTTATATAGATATAAAGGTTATGAGTTCTGTGGTAGATACTGTAGATACATGAGGGACATGAGAGGGTAGGTATAGTTATGTAAGCAGAGTCTCTTGTACCAAGTAGAACCACACCATATTATTCCAGAGGTGAGGTTTGTTATTCTGTGGCTTCAAGATTCCTAGCTTCATGTAATTTTCATAATAATATTCCTAGCTAAAAATCACTAAAAATACAGCAGGAAAAAATATCCATTAACAATGAATTGGGTAGTGATTTCAAAGTACCTATCTACTCCTATCTACCAGTTCAGAAGGATGAAAATAATAACTACAATTTGTATGAGATAGGCTGTGAGGAGAAAGTGAAATGATAGGAAATAGAGGTATCCATTGAATGAATTATGAATTAAATCTAGGTATCTAGGTAGTAAAGTAGATAATTTACCTCTTTCAAGACCTGTAACATCGTTCATTTTATTACTTGACCTACTTTTTCAAAATAGAACAGAGCTCGGTACTTCCTGATCAAGTGAATAATAATTTGTCATTCCGAATTACCACAACTGCTCGAAGTTCTATTCCTCATTTTCAATCCATTTCTCGACTGAACGATTATTATTGTAAGTGGTAATACAATAACAACATAAAACTATTTACAACTTGCTCAAACAGCAAACCCATCCCATTTCCATTTTCCACAAATTTCAATTTTCCATTGTTATTCCATTATTTTAATGTCAAGTTGTCAACCAACTGACAGTGACAACTGAGCTATCGAGCATATTTGTCACTTGTCGATGAGAAACATTCTAATTGGTCGATTTCGTCCAGTGATATGACATTTGATTTGTCCCCTAGTCGGCCTAGTCCCTACCCCTAGTCCAGGGTACTAGAGTTCCTCCAATTCCAATTCTGTGATACTGTGATTCATAGACAGAACAGAGGCACTCTTATAACTCTACAGCAAATCTTGAGGCGCAATGCAAATCTGATTTGACAAAAGGGGCAAAAAATATCCATAATGAAATATAAAATAGGAAAGGATTTGGAGTGATTTGGAGGATGAACCTAAACCACTAAACTATGCTTTCAGTAGATAGACGATAAGACGATACATTCAGAGATTTTATTCCATCGTCCTCCTTACTCACTATCCGGAAGGCGTAATAAAGAATGGATGAATAATTATTAGTAGTCAATAATGTAGCGATTTTATTAGTTACCTTGAAATTTTATCGCTCATTAATCGACATTCAAAAGCAGGTCGTTATGCAAATATCGCATCTTGCAGGTGTTTTTAAAATGTGACATTTTAACCAAAACACAAATGTCCTTGAAGGGAGAAATTCTTTGTGTTTTTTGTTTTCTGTAGTAGCACGTGATCTGATAATCACGGCGTTATTGGCCGACAGCTAGCGTGCCCTGCGCGGATTTGTTGCGCAACAGTGATTACAAAATGCCGTCAGAGTCTAAACCTTTGTTGACAGCTCAAACAGAAAAGCCAAATCATTACTCGTAAGTTTATTTTTAGTGCGTGATTATTATTGTGACGTATGCAGCAATTAATTTGGTCTCTTTTCTTGTGTTTTGGTAGTTGAAATCTTGTGTTATTTCTAGGTATTTGAAAGAATTTCGCGTTGAACAATGCCCGCTCTTCTTACAACACAAATGTACACAGCATCGACCATTCACCTGTTTTCACTGGCATTTTATGAATCAGAGGCGAAGGCGGCCAGTTAGACGCAGGGATGGTACTTTTAATTATAGTGCCGATAATTATTGCACAAAATATGACGAGACTACTGGAATTTGCCCTGATGGGGACGAGTAAGTACCTACACCTTTTTTGGTTAACTTAGCTGTCATTTTTGTATACAGTGGGTGTGACAGATCTGATGCGCAATTTATTTGTTATTGTCGTATTTCTATAATAATCCGTGGATGATACCGGTTCATCTGTTCAATTTACTCTATAAAACTTCAAAACGGTGTTTATTAGTTGTTTCTTCCTTTTCATAATGTATATAATATTTAAAACCTGAAATCAACCAAAACTATCAACAACAACAGCATATACAGGGTGTCCCTAAAAGGCGAGGGGGAAACAACTCTTTAAATAGGTGTTGTAGGCTAGGTGTAGACACCTGTAATTTTGAGTATCAACTATCAAGTATCATTTTTAATACCTGAGGCCTGTTGATTTGAATTGCTGAACTTGACAAAGTTGATTTTATTCCCATAGTTGTATCTGTTCATGGCATGATGTGAACAGGGAAAGTCCTGTTTAGTATTTTTATTAGCTTCAAGTATATTGAAGTCTTTTCAGTACCAATTTAAGTATTTCAAGTGCTGAATATTTTTCTTTAAGTATCTTTAGTACGGATTTCAGTACTTTGAGTATTGAAAATTTTGAATTCAATTACCGGATATGATACCACTCTTCCTGAATACATTGGCACTCTTATAGGGATATATTGAAATTCAAATGATGGCTTAGGAGATGCTGAAGGTGAATAATTTCCCAGTTATGTAATTTAGGTACAAAAAATATACATAGGAATCATAAGATCAATGGTACAGGTAAAATAAAATTGAACATGTTTGTATCTGTACAGTATTCAATGTTTTTGTATAGTACTGAATCTGATCCAGGAATATCCTGGAACAGGTCCATTCATGTTTTCAGTTTGCCACATTTATGAGGAAAAAAATATATACAAGGTGAACTCTGAGTTTGAGTTATATTTTATTAGATTTTTGAAATCTCCTGTAAAGTTGAATTCAAAAATATATGACATAAAGTGTTTGTAAAGTACTTAATAAATCCCCCCATTTCTGAGGAATCTCCTGATTCTAGTTCTATACTTCAATATTTATTTTCAATAATAATCTTTATTTATATATATATATATTTGTATACTATTCAAGTAAGTATGTCATATTCTTTCTTGTCTGTATTTTATGTTATTTTTTGCTTTTATCTATACATTATCTTTATTTGATGTTTTTCTCAGACCTTGTACTCTGTGGAAATGAATAAACTATCTATCTGTCTATTCCTATCCATCTATCTAGTTTAGGATTTGCCACAGAAAATTATTCCGAAAATCAAGAAAAAACCTTGAGGTATGGTTAATCATTGAATATAGGTAAAAATAATGCAGACAATAAAATTGTTTTTTCATTTTTATTATTATTATTATTTAATTCATCAAGGAATTCTTAGATAATCACATTGAGTTTATGTTATCATCACATATTCATATAACATTATTGTCATAATGTTGAAAAATCTAGGTGTAACAAACATACATGTGTTCATTGGATATACAGTGTGATCCACGGTTGAGTTTTGACATATGTGACAATTTTTTCAATGGGAACACCTCGTATATTATTCAATTTTTTGAATCTCCATGAGCAGCTGGATTCAAAATTATATCAGGCATTGGGATTGTATACAGTGTGTTTGGTTAAATTCAGTGATCTTTTGAAATTTGGTGGTTATTAAAAAATAAATTAAAAGTAAAAAAACTTCAATTAAAAGCTTTTATTTATTTAAACGCTCTAAAAAGAAGAAAATGAAATTTTAACTTATAACCTCATTATACACAATTTATAAGATCATAAAAGTTTGTCACACGATTCACTTCTGTGAATGAACTGATACTTATTTAATTATGTAAAATCTGCTGATGAAATTTTTAAAATTACAATTTAATTAAATATTGATCAGTGCAACAAGCTTTTATGATCATATAAATTGTGTATAATGAGGTTATAAGTTGATAGTGGAAATTATTAAGAAAAAAATTATTTTCTTCTTCTTAGAGCGTTTGAATTAAATCTTTTTATTGAAAAGTTTTTTTCTACTTTCAATTTATTTTTGGATTTTTCGATTTACTCTCAACGAGCCTTTTCATTTGATACCCATATTGGAGAAGTATATTGAAAATTACCATTCCGCCATCTTGGATGGTCCGCCATCTTGGATGGTCCGCCATATTGGATTTAGAATGACGTCACATCATTTTTCGAGTAACACTCAACTAGCCTTCATTTGATACTCATATTGTAGAAGTAGATTAAAAATGGCCATTCCGCCATCTTGGATGGTCCGCCATATTCGATTTAGAATGACGTCACATCATTTTTCGAGTTACTCTCAACGAGCCTTTTCATTTGATACCCATATTGTAAAAGTATATCAAAAATAGCTATTCCGCCATCTTGGATAGTCCGCCATATTGGATTTAGAATAACGTGACACACCTTATCGTGCATTGTCATCCAAACTGAACGTGTATACAAAATTTCAGCTCAATCGGTTGAAGATTTCTACTTCAAAATTGAGTTCAAAGATTCCACCCCAACATACATACATACATAATATGAACATACAATGCAAGTTAAATAATAGTATATTATTCAACGAGCGGTAATGTAGGTCATAACTCACGCAGATGAAGTTTGCAGCACGAGCCACAGGCGAGTGCTGTATTTCATCAAGTGAGTTATGACCATTACCGCAAGTTGAATACTATACTTTATCTACGACTATTACAATAAATACTAAGTTACAAGAACAGAGAAAGAACTTTATTGACAAATCTTAATATACTTTATACAAATCACTCATTTTGTTTATTGAAAAAATTAACTGTGAAGTTTGAACAACCAGTAAACTGAATATGTGGAACTGAATTATGGAAGTTTATTGTTTCTTTTTGTGTTTGTTGCATATATGTTGTTGATGTACTAACTGATTGAGCTGTTATAGAACTGTATATTTTATTTGCAGTATATGTCTTATTCTTTTCGGAATCATCAACGTATCCCTCGGCCACAGTAGTTGATCGCCAACCGCGTTTCAGTGCCGTACGGCATCTACTAATAAAGTTGCCGACAAGCGGCGAAAACAATGCCCTGTGTATAAATTACAGTCTGATAATTCATCTTCACTATCTGAATTCATCAAAAAAATCACAATAATTGTATCAACTTAATTTGAAAACGTCAAAATTATTCAATTGACATCACTCCCTTCAATAACAATAATGGACTGTTCCTTTTCGGTCAACTGGCTTGTACAGAAGTACTGAGTCATCTTGATTTTCGGTTCGTAAATAATTCTAAGAGCCTTTCCCGATGTAAGTATTATAGTGAGTTATAGTAGCGAGAGTTATTATAACCCACGCTGTTTGTTTACAGATACTATTAATGGGGAAGACCACTGAGGGAAGAAATCCGTGCAAACCTCTTTCAATCGACGAATCATGATTTACATTTTATGTAAAATCAATATTATGAGTTTAAGTTGAAGGGAATCGAATCTATATCGTTTTGAAATCAGCATATTTCATTCGATATTTCAAACAGCCTTTTATCGGGTGGAGTCGTGACGTATTAGTCCGGAACTGTAGATATCTCTCTCTGATACCTCTTCATTTTGCAGTCTTGCAGTGTAATTGGTCAGTTCAAGGACAATAGGCGTGTTGGGACTGAGACGTCGCACCAGTCACACCAATGAATTGATGAAATTTAAAATGGCACAGGAATTGTGTGTTTTTAAATGGACATATACTAATTTATTTTTTTCATCGTCTTAGCATGAATGAAAAAATTCAAAATTAATTCACTGGTAGTTTTTCAGTATTGAGTTCACGATAATGTCTTTTTAAAAAATCAGTGGTCTTCCCCATTGTACAAAGGCAGTTGAATCATTGATATATAATTTAATAGGAGTAGATAAATATCAATATATTGAATAAGGATATTATAAATGAAAAGATATATCAATACATTCGATACATATCGATATATATCAATACATATCCATATATATCGATACATATCGATATATCAATAAATATCAATATATCCACACATATCAATACCAAATCATACGTCGATATCAATATCTAGATTTCAATATCACACAGCATTACTGTCGACATTTATCAAACAAGGTTCTGGTCTGGTCCTTACTCCTGGTCACCCGATGGTTATTCTGATCAAGGGTCGGAGCGAAAAAGTGCAAAAACCCAAGGTGTGCACAATTTAGTTCGCCACATATTTCATCCTATATATGTATGAAATGCAACAAATAATCCGTGTGGTGAGAATATTCTACCCGCATTAAAAGGTTTATTCAATTTTCAAGGATGTTCGAATTTTAGTTTCAATATAAATACAACCACAGAGTGACATATTATTTGTGTATGGACCAGGTGCTCTAATGGCAAATACCGCGCCAGTGCCAGGTATAGGAACAAGACGTGGAAAATGTTAGGTTAGTGAGCATATCAACAATAATGATAGTGATTATTCATTTCTCTCCATACTCCACTGTGTTTGGCTTGATAAAATCAAATGGAGGTAAGAATATCGTTGTTTGAGGCAAAAAACTATTGCTGTCCGTGATTATACAAAAACAAGTTATCCATCCCAATGAATGAAATACAGATCAAGCAAGTATGTGAATCTTGAAGGCTTCCCTGATCACAACAAAAATAATTGACTATAATAAGGTGTATTTATATCTCCAGCATGGGTATGAAATGCCGAAATCGGAAACAAATCAGGTATGCGTTCCAACCCAAATAACCAACCATAACAATGTTGTTTATTCTTGATGACTCTAGTACATCCTTTTTAGTTCCCAACTGTGTTGCCTAGCAACATAACTATTTTTGTATGAGTAACAGAAACGTCAATCCAAGAGCTAATTTTCTTATTAAAATGGGCGACTTTTGTGTCGGTTGCAGAAAAATCCTATATAAAAAGGACTTAAGGAATGTTGAGGTTTTAATATGCAGGCAGAAACAGATAGCAAGGTTTTACAAAAGATGGAATGATCTTTTTATTATTTTATTTATAATGTATAACATATGAACTACTTAACAACATAACATTCTAGATATATTATATCACATTCATGACACACACAATCACTGACAACTCAGAGATTAATTTCATAATATACAGAATGATATTATTCAAATGATTATTATCAACAAGGAACACGATGGCCCAAGAACGTCTAAATCATCTGATATTGTCGATATTGAAAGTGTTATCAATAAATTTGCTCATATTAAATCCAGAAAAGTGTATTTGTAATAGTTTTGTTTTATTTAATACCCTAAACCTAAGAATTTAATACAAACCAAGGGCCTCTTGATATAATTTGCTACAGGCCCCGTGCTGTATTTATCCAGCACTGGTTGAATTAGCTATGTTTCAACGGAATATTCAGTCATTCTTTGAAATTTTCCATGGAGATTAGTACCTTGGATTTATGGCAAATCGTAGGTATTCAGCAGGCATGTTATTGCATCCAGTTGCCCTTATCTACTACAATACCACCTGCGCTACTACAAAACGTGCATGTGCGTCCACGACACCGACATCAGGGATTACTGCGTCAAAGACTATCAGAAAATCCCAAAAATATTGAAAAACGTGTGGAATTTGTCTTGAAGATCAGTAGCTTGAATTTAAGGGAAAATGGTTTTATAGATTCGGCATCTTTACCACCCTTTGCGTTGAATTAGATATGTTTCAACGGAATATTCAGTCATTCTTTGGAAATTTTTATGAAGATTAGTAGCTTGGATCGAAGACAAATCGTAGGTATTCAGCAGGCATATAAGTAATATTCGTTTTACCAACTTTGACTGAGATTAACCAAGTCCAGGTCAATAGCTCAGTTGTATTACATGTTTCATTTATCTTAGTATTATGTGAGTTGTCTTAAGAACTTATTGAGACTATTTCTTCCCCCTCACCCCAGCTGAGCTTGCTATTCATCTGGTGTTGTAGTGAGAAAAAGGTGAGACTGGATTAATTCTAGTTATTCTGGGGTTCTGTGCTGAAAATTGTGAGGTTATATTTTCATTTTGACATACTTTCAGCTTTGAAGTTTCAGTCCAAAGGTTAAATCCTTTGAAAAAAAATATTAATTTGTCTCGAAAATTCTTTGATAAATGTGATGAAATCCAATAAAGACATATTATTACAACTCTAAGGCTGAAGCATGCAGTCCAACAGGCCAGATAATAATTATGATGTGATCGCAGATGGAAATAATGCTTATATTATTGACGGGAATTCGATTCTAGTGCAGAATATAGCAGGTAAAATAATACATATATCAAGTTTGAACTGTTTCATGCAATTGATTTATTATGGATACTGTAATTTATTGTGTTGTTCTGCTTATGAATGATTCTTTATTATTCATTTTAATGAGTAATGAATAAAACAATCAATTACAACATAGCTTTTTATTACTCAAGACCAGACCATCATTCAATAATCCCCTAACAACAACTCGACGATCTTCGTCTATCGCACACTGCGCATGACATCACTATTCTCTAATGTATTTCTATTTGCATACCTAACAGATACAAAATTATGTATAATAATATAAAAACGTGTTCTTTTTATTCAATCGACAACAGATCCGTCTCACCTCCTTCTAATTCAATTGATCTCAGTAGTGATAATGTAACAAGGTAAAAAGAATATTGCTGTTACTGTCTCCAGTTGCCCATATCTTCACCGAACTGCGGGCGACACAGAGCGACGCTACCACCTGCGCTACTACAAGACGTGTATGTGCGTCCACGACACAGACTCGAGGGGCTACTGCGTCAAGAACGGGCTGCATTGCGCTTTCGCGCACGGCAGTCACGACCATCGGCCGCCCGTCTACGACATCAAGGAGATCCAGGCGCTGGAGGCGGCCGAGGCGGAGGGCAGCGGATCGTTGAACGGGCCCAACGCGCTGGACAAGGAGCGGAATTTGATGAATGAAGATCCCAAATGGCAAGGTAAGGGGACGGGGCGGGATAATCCGGAAAATGGTTCTTTTTGAGTTAAGTCAATAAAAACTGCAGAGAAAAATTATTGATCATCAAGTAGTGGGATATTGTGATCATTTCACAGCCACATTTCCTAGAGATGACGCACTGAACAAATAAAATTGAACGAATTAAGCAAAATGTTCATTTATTGTGAGATGAAAACGATCACAAACAAGATTTCAGTAAATCTAACTGCACAAATCATATTTGGACTTGGCATATCAGATGAATCGGAAGGCACATATTCACTACCAGAGTCCGCAAATGCTTGAAAAATCACTGTTCATGAAGACTTATCTGTTTAGTTTGTCTTCCTACTAATCAGGTACCTACTCAAAAGATGGGCTGAGAGTAAACTAACGTACAGTAACCACATGAAACACGCTTCAGCCGAGAAATATACGTGATGCCGGGTTGTGAATAAACAATGTTGTCATTCAAAAATTAATAATTAATAATAATCTCCAGGAGTTGATTGATTCTTGCATCCAAGTGCTGTCATGTCAACTCCCTTTTTGTGTTCATCGGACTTGACTGGCTCTTGCACCAAAAACTGTGGAATAATGCTTTGAAACCCCTATTTTGGAAAAAAGTGGAGTTGACCGGCTTTTGCACCGGGCCATTCAATCATTTCTGACCTTGACTTTTTTCACACTAGTAAACCTGCTAAATACAAATTGATCAGCAGTAGAACCATAAAGAAATCAAATAATTAACTATCCCAACTTTTCTTTTCATTTTAGACTGTTCACACAGCAGATCGGTCAACTATCCAGTACTATTGGTCATCACCAACAATATCACAATTGTAAACTTGCGTGGGGTCTAGGTCTAGACTTAAGAAAATCGATGTCAGACAGTTCATATCTCACTACACACTTCATTCATAACTGGAATGCAATTGAAAAAATATAATTTATTTTGCTTGTTTCATGTGTGAAAAAGTGAGGATCACTGTGAAAAGTTGCCAGGTCAAAATTTAAACTGCATAAACACATAATTTTCCCATAGCAACTCAATTGTCAGACACTCATACTGTTAATTATAAGTTTCAATAGTTATTCTGAGGTAATTATATTACCAAATGAATAATGAAAATTGGCTTGACAGTTTGCTTTTGCTGATGAAAAAAGTGATTGGAATGAAGAAAATATTAAATACCTTAACTAAAATCTCACACAACTATGTTATAGAACAAACAATACAGTTTCTTCACACACACACACATACATTTATTTTGATCGCAATTTATTATAATCATTATTGAATTTAGCGATGGCAAGCCCTCGATTCCCTGCCAATGATTCCGCAGAATTATCCCCAACATTCGTGATGTGGTTAATTGATTCGTGTACTTTTCCGTTGAAAGCCCGATGTAATTGGCAACGAGATATCTCTAGTATATATGATTTTCAGATCACTATCTTTATCAGAAAACCTGGTAAATGGCATGATGACATAATATGAGTGTTTATTGACGAAATATCTTCGAGATATGCTGTCATATTCCAAATAACACCATTATAATACCCCAGAAACATGACATTTGGCGCCAGCTAGTATTGACGTAATAAGATTTTTCCTGAGCCTTCAATATTATTGTTCTTTCATTTACTTTCAATTTTAGAAAGTCAACTGAAGAATCTACATTGAAATTATCTATCTGAACCCATATGCGAATTCACCTTGAAAGGGAATTTAGTTTTGATAATGAGGCGTATAATGTTTGACATATTACTAAAAACATTCCATATACCAATATGGGAAACATTATCATGAATTTATTGTGATTCAAAAAATGTGGAAATGTCTCATGAGTTTTTGTAATTCCATTGATGAAAATTAAAAGAGATTACTTTCTGAGAGTTTGTGAAAACTAGACGCGCCTGGACTGCCATCTCAACAAACAAATGTTTCCACGATTCTTTACCTAATTTACGTCATACCACTAACTGGGCCAGTGTAAGGTTTATGGAAGGCTAAAATTCAAAATCTTTAGTGCTGATATGCTCCATCAGGAAGATTTAATTTACCTACGGTGGACGGACATACTGACCTTCATCAGAAGGTCAGGAAGGTTTGTAAAGGAGAATTTGGAGAAAGAAGAGTAGATATATGTGCGGCAGAGGTCAGCAAAAAGGGCCCATGGGGGCCTAGTTGTTAGGCAACCGCTTCCCCCCTCTCATACTAATACTACTACTAATTGAGTAATTTACAGTTGCAACTGTAAATTAGGATGTTTCTGAAAGAAAAAGTTTCATGTGCCTAATTTACAGTTGCAACTGTAAATTACTCTAAAATTCATGAAAAATAGTTATTCATTATACAAGGGAAAAAAGTTGTAGATTTTAGTTCCAGTTTGTGTTGTCTTCCGACGCGTAGCGGAGAGAGACAAAATACCGTGAGCTAAAATATAATATTTTTCCCGTGTATAATTAGTTATTCATTATACAAGGAGAAAAGTAGTTTTCTGTCTCCCGACGCGTACTATTATTTTCTCGTGTATAATACACAATTTTTGTCTGTGACAGAAGAAAGGACGAATCAATATTGAGAAGATATTACATTGTATTAAAATCAGATGATGATCGATGTGAAATTTGAAGTTTTTAACAGGAATTAAACCTGCATTGCAGGCATCTTTGTCATTCTTTTGAAGTAATTAAATATCTGTCAGTTTAATGGTTGTTTAGTAATTTACGTAATCGTGAAGTCCAATGAAAGATGAAAGGACTTGCAGTTCTTTCTCCGAGATGTATTATTGGCTTATTTTTCGGAACTATATCACAACAAAAGCCATCAACAGTGTATATATATATATCTCGGAAAAAATTACTCACTTGTTTCCCGTGGGAAAAATTAATTTATGAAAAGTGACATTTTATAACTTGTCAACAGAGATGAAATTTCAAACTTTTTTCCCGTCACAGAAATAAAGTTTTTAGGATGGCAGTTCAGATGTGTCTTAGAAAACAATATGAATTATTCAATGTTGTTTTCTTTATATAAAAATTTCAGTAGGTTATTATGTTTTTGTATCAAAATGAGGTCTTCCATATCTTCCATATGAAGCAAATTTTGCTGATGAACCTGCTTTATTTTCAGATACGAATTTTGTATTATCAAATTATAAAACAGAACCATGTAAGAGGCCACCAAGATTATGTAGGCAAGGGTATGCATGTCCCCAGTATCACAACAGTAAAGATAAAAGAAGAAGCCCTCGGAAATTCAAATATAGGTATTTACTCTAATAAATACACTCTTAATAGATCGAAAAAATGTGAGTTATTTTTCAATTTCAACCAACTACTATATCAAAGTCAGTTTAGGTTTCAAGTAATATTATTCTCATAATAAGTCAACAATAGATATTTTATTTCATTATTTTCTGTTCATTCTACTATATGGCACAGTCTTTATATTTACCAGTTCAATATTTCTATTTAAGATCAACCCCTTGTCCCAATGTGAAACATGGGGAAGAATGGGGTGAACCTGGTAATTGTGATGCAGGAGATCTATGTTCGTATTGCCATACTAGAACGGAACAACAATTCCACCCTGAAATTTACAAAAGTACAAAATGTAATGATGTGCAGCAGTCAGGATACTGTCCGAGGGGCGTATTTTGTGCTTTTGCCCATGTAGAACGTAAGTATCATGAATGGTAATTATTTCATTGAATATATTGACGGGAATGTCCGAAGTCTCATATAAAACTTTCGTTATTGCTGCGGTGCTGCAGAGCTCCCAATAAAAAATACCATAAAGGCAAAAGTAAATATAATATCAATGTGGAACCAGACACGAGTTCCAGCCACGACTTCGCCAATTATTCTAGGCGCGCTCCATACCCCCAATAGAGAGAAAAAAATGTCTTCCCCATATGTTCTTGTCTTCAGTGTCCAAACATAAAATAATAAAAATTCTATGTTGGTTACACTAGAAATGAGAAGAAAATGAGAAGAAGACCATTCTAACCGTTTTTATATTGAGGTTGATATGATCATTTTCTCAATTTTTTTCCCATTTTCAATGTTATCAACATAAAATGTTCATTAATTTACGTTGGAACACTGAAAACAAGGACAGATGGGGAAGACATTTTTTTCTCTCTCAACGCTAGCTGAATTGGTCTATGGTCGGTTATTACTAAGTTTACTCGTGGCCATGACATTACTAAAACCTAAGGGTCCTTAGCAATCTGTATATCTCTCAATATTTTGTCAGGCAAGAATTAACCCCACAGGCCTCATCTTTTGGAATTTCGAAAATAAATCGTAACTTTTCAAAATACACGTGGATGGGAGTTTTTTTCCATGAATTATGCAATTATAACTGAAACACCTATTTTTTGGTGATAAATTGGATAAAAAATCAAGTATTTACTCACCTGATTATTTGATTCAAATTCGTCAAATTCTTGAATTTAGAAGAATCAATTTGTTTGTTTTCATTTTCTGAATCATTTTTATTTTCAAATAAATAATGAAAATTTGCTCGAATATGTTGTATTTGTTCATCCAATTTAATTCAAATTTTCAGAGGAATTAGGTGTTTCAAGAGATACTGGTGAAAGTGGCACAAATTTAGCAGATATATTATCAAATGTTCTTCCCCAGAGCAGTGGAGATATTAAACTCAAAGAAAAGAGCAGTGATAGTTCTGTAAGTAAAAATATGTACAACAAATCACAAAATAAATCAACTAAAATTCATATTCCCCTGCAAATATGATAAACACCTATTAAATTAAAAAAGTCTCATTCTTTTTCAGAATGGTTGTAGTGAGGTGAGCGAATCATCTTCAACATCTTCAGAATTAGGAAATTCCATTAGTAATTTAAATAGTAGTCTGTTGAATGTGAATTCTAGCAGTACAAGTAAGAGTAAGGCTCCAGGATCACAGTTGACACATAAACCTATACCTTTTCAAAGGAGACCGACGATAGGATTGGAATTAACCAATAAACTTTTGGCTATAGAGAATGATCCTACATTAGGTAAATGAATCAAAGCAATATCAAAATTCAAAACACTTGTAATACTTCAGAAAAATATATACTTTCATATGGTTTTCTTTTTGCAGATTCCTTAGAAAGAGAACAAAGAAAACAGACTTTATGTTATACTTATAACCAGTTAGGAGGATCCTTTTTCAGTACTGGAAACGATACTGTTGAAAGTCTTGTAGGTGAGTAGGTTCATCGACTTCCCGCAAACGTATTTTCAAGTATTTTATTTCCAATTAAAATGCAAAAAAGTTGATGTCACTTTTCCTAAGACCCCTATAAAAGTTGATGGTATTGTAACTTGAATTTACGCAATAATGTCTTGCTGGATGGTAGTCGATAGTGTTGAACATTGTCCATCTAAATGGACAAAGCAAATAGGCAAGTAGGTATCTCCCAATTAAAAAACGTGCGATAATCGCTCTTATTGGTTCAGTTTTCTGTGCTGTAGAGACATCTATGTGAACTGAGATTTGCATCCTACAAATTTTAGTCCCTACAATATTGCAAACAAAAATTTTCATGTTGAAACATTAACGAAGATAATCGGGTCGATTCTGTTTGCAAATAGCAATATGGTTGTAGAGAAGATATTGCTATCATAGCAAGATTCGAAAAAGTGGAATTCTAATCATCGATTTTTGGCAATATGATCTGTCAATTTAAATGAAATCTGGTTAGCTTTCTTGCTATCTCGGCAACATCAATTTTGTGCTTGCTATCTGAATACAAGGTAGTGGATTCTTTTTTTGCACTACAAATTCTTCCAACTGTATGAAAATTCAGAAAATAGTGGATTAAAAACATATGAGAGTTCAGTTGTGTCACTGACTACTAGAAAACCTTTCCTCAAAGTTTGAATTCGTAGAAGAATTATTGAAAAACTTGGTGATTACAAACATATAGGATAGGTTCACTGCTGTGTACTGTGACCAACTACTTGAAAACCTCTTCTTGAAGTTCCAATTTGTAGAGGAAATATGAGACTACAATTTCGGCATATCAGAGAAATTTCAGTTGTCTGATGGATAGTTTATCAAGCTATTTTGCTAGAATATTAAAAAAAAATCACAATTTGTTTCATCCGGATTTTAGTTGTTTTTTCATTTCGGGGACATGATTCATTCTTGCACCAGTCGCACAACGACGACCAGATTAAGCAAATACAAAATCTCTCGATTTGAACAATATAATTTTGTAAAATGTCAGTGCAGGTCGCAGGACTGACTAATTTGAGAGGTTGAACTCTTCTTCTTCATGAAATAATGGCAAAATCGATACCTAACACTTGAACAATTAGTTGAAAACAGTGTTGTCAGCTCAAAAATTCTCAATTTTTCAACAATATTGCTATCACTTGAACTTATAACCAGTCTTGCAGTTACTCTGCAAACAGAATACAGAACTTCATAGCAATATTGGTATATGTTATGATCATAACAATATTATTATCTTAGCAATGTTATAATAAGATCCGAACAGAATCGACCCGATTATCAAGTATGAACATCATCTTTACTTTTACATTAGCTGGAAGTATTATTGTTTTTATTCAAATTTGAGTTTAAACTGGAAACATTTTTATGCTGTAAACACATCAGTGCTGCAATAAAACGTAACTGTTTCAACTTCAACGTGTGATGCGTGGGCAAGCACTGTTGCCAATTCAAAAATATTTATCTAAAAACAGGAAATGAAATCAAAATCCATGTATTTTGGTGTCCTTTTGATGAGAAAGTATAGATAATATCAGTTTAAGGAAAATCTCTGAGTAGGCTCAGCCACTGCTGTATACGAAATGACCCCGTACAGAACGACCGTTGTGTTCCCAGGCAACGCCCTCGACGACCTCAACCTCGAGGAGTCGCTCAACTTTTCGGGCGCCCTCGACCGGGACCTCGACGCCGACTCGCCCACCGTCTCGAATTCGATCTCGGTGGGGCTGGCGTCGTCGGCCGGCCTGTTGGGCACCTCCGCCCCAGTCAACATTCCCAGCTCGACGCGCCCCGGCTTGGGCGGCTTCAGCCCCACCAGCAACAGTCCGATGCAGCCCTTTCTGTCGGCGGCCGCCAGGTAACTCGTTCGTTTTGTCGGGAAGGGATTGTTACCCTCTGTTTTACCGCTAACATTGACAGGTGTCTTGAGGATCTGAGGATTTAATTAATTAAAATCTCACTCCTAATGTACTAAAGTGTGAGTCAAGCTCTGATCAATCTGCGTCGAGCAGCGGAGCACATATATCTGCTTCCTGCTAACCTCCACTGTCTTCCTAATTTCCCACCTTAGGTGTCTCAATAGCCTTTGTGGTTTCAAGAAGGGACAGGGGAGCTAGGGCAAGAGTGAGAGCCTATTTATGCATCATTGTCTTAGTCATTGTCTCAATCATAGTCTTAACCAAGGTGGATCGAATATTAACTCATCAAATTTGGACCTTCATGCATCACAGTCTTTAGGTTAAGAATTATGATATGATAACAATTGACAATTCGTCAAAAGTGTCAATTCTAATATTTTGTTTTGGTTTCCAGCAGGCATCTGAGCTAATTTTGATGATTTCCAGGAATTCTCTATTACAATTTTATCTTTGTATTTTGAGTCTTTCTTGTCCCAAAGATGGAGGAAATTTCTCCACCAAATCTATTAGGGTTTCTTTTTCCAGGCTCATGATTTTTTGATATTTGTTATCAAATGTAATCAAATTATCAGAATGATGTAATCAATTATTGACACATCACAGAATGGCACTGATTTTTGGTGACAACCACAAAATTGAAAGTCATATGTGATTGTCAAATATGTTAACAAGTCCACACTTGTGCATTTCTTATGTGGTCTCAATCATAAGCATAAAAAATGGGAGTTTGTAACTTTCAAGGTCATGATTTAATGATTATGATTAATACTGAGACTAAAAATGTTGCATGAATATACCTATTGAAATGTATGCTCATAACTTGATTATATGATTAGAACTAAGACTGTGGCATAATATGTAGAAAGCGGGAGAAACGTCGTTGGAGATAGAGAACGGACAATTGAGAGTGAGAGATAATGGCACGAGTAATAGAGAACGAGAAAATGAAAGAGACCGATTAATAGGGGTAAAGAAAGACGGAACTAGTGAGAGAAAGCAATAGATAGAGAGGGTGAGTATAATAGAGAACTATAGATAGGGAGAATGAGGAGTAAGAGAGCGCTAGAGAGAGAATGAAAATAAGATGAAGAGTAAAAGAATGAGAGCGAATAAGATTGAGAGCGAGGGAGATTGAGAACGAGAGGGATTGAGAGGGAGAGATATTGAAAACGAAGGAGATTGAGAGCGAATGAAATTGAGCGTGGGAGAGATTGAGAATGGGAGAGATTAAGAGCAAGGGATATTGAGAAACTGATAGTGACAGAAATTAAGAGAAGAGGGTGAGAGAAAACGTAATAGAGAGGGAGATAGGAGTAAGAGAAAATCAAAGAGAGACCCAAAGTCTCTCAAACACCATTAAATAGAATAAAAAGAAACAAAAGCTTGCTCATAAGATGCAGATTTTATGCTTCTTCAGAAAGATCAAAAATATTTTGGAAAAATATTTAAGAAGTGGGTCAAACTAGGAAGTTGTATAGCAAAAATCAACTATTTCTTCTTGAACTTTTTGGCATTCGAGGAGATGCAGAGTACTCTTCTGAATTGGATTCAAAATTGTTTCTGTTTCATTCAATACTTTTACCCCTCTACTCTTAAATGGATATCAGATTATTTGATCAAGCATGAATTTCAAAATACTTATTTAGGTTCTCGCAGTCGGACATCGATTTCCTCAACCAGTCGCAGATGCATATTAGCAGCAGCGGCTCGAAGATGAACAGTTACACGGGCTTTTTCGATTTCCAATCGCAAAACATCTCACCCGGCTCTAGGAATCACAACAATTTCAGCATGTCGCCTAGTCTCAGTAATAATTTGGAGGTCGTTAGGTAAGCAACGATGTTATGATAATTTTTCCTGTGGTCATTTAGAAACGGGACACTTATCAAATGAGAAATTTTTCGGAACAACAAGGAAACGAATGGAATTATTTTCATAACGACGCACTAGTCTATTAAGAAGTTAGTTCAGTATTTTTAATTATGCTGAATATTTTATCGAACCAGAACATAATTTTAATCCAAAGGGTTATTGACAGATGTCCTTCTACACATGGCTTCAATTCATTGATTTGATACATTATTATATGAATTTCATGAATGTAACCATTGAAAGAAAAATATATAGACATTGAAATAGGTACTGAACAAAACAAGTCATAAAATATTATGGGGATTTTAAGACTTGGTGGTGAATCGTTCTAGTTCCCCCAAAGTGGTTGCTTCTTTATAGTTATTGACATTGAAAACGCAGAAAGACACTCTTTGAAGGTACCCATTTTGTCTATAAGATTGATTATATTTGCGTTTCAAAATAATAATATAAAAGATAACTAGATCTCGCAAATAAGAGGTTAGGATGAATATCAGCAAGAGCAAGATGGTACTTTCACTAGGCACATGGGCACTGTCGGCAATAAAATCTATTCCTTTTGGAAGGGTAGTGTGTGGAAAAAAATGTAAACACCCTCGACTTTTGATACACGATTATTATAACCATAAATGGAACATCCAACAGCCAGACAAAGGACCCCGCACCATTTACATTGAAATCTTGTCTACGGTGAAATTTTGTGAGTATCTAGGATTGGATGGATCAAATCATGCTGAACAGTAAATGTCCTTTGGTCCAAGGTCCGTTATGCCCGTTAAAAAAAGTTATAAACTCTTGAACCCAAATGAGATAACCTCTACCAGAAAAGCACATCCTGTGTGTAATATGGTTTTGGCTACTATGATATATTTGAATTGTCAAATAATGGTCATTCATGTTATTGCAGTAAAAGTCATTGAGCAAAAGCGTATAACTTTGTTCCTTTCCGCCTTTCCGTGTAACGTAAACCACCAATCAATGGTCGCAATATTATACCATCAGTGTTTACATGTTCCCGAAAAGATTGGGCATTTTTAGGGATAAAAATATTATTTACAATATATACGTTGACTCTAGCAACTAATGATAGGTGAAGTAAATTATTATTTGCGCCACAAAATATGCACACTCTTGCATGGATGGGAAAGACAATATTCAGCTTCATAGAATGAACGTTATCTTGAACTCCAAATTCCTCTATAATGGATCAATTACAATTCAGAATTAAACGAGTACGATCGGTTAGGGGTATATCCTTTCTTCCTAGAACCTGTCGACGATGGATTGCGATTGCATGCTGCGTGCCATAGAATTAATATCGTCTTCGCTATCCCAACGAAACCTATTCTGATAAGCCATCTTATATGTATTTGAACAAAGTAACACGCTCTCGCTCAATGACTTCTTACACACGGGATGTGCTGTTCTGGTAGAGGTTATTTCGTTTGGCGTAAATGGTGCGGGGTCCTTTTTGTCATACTTGAAATGATATTTCAACTGTTGGAAACTGCTAAAACATCACAGAAAATTGTATTGCCTCCCATGTCATTTGCATGCAGTTCACATGTAGACAGTAGTCAATGAGGTCCGATCGAAGTGCCTCTCTGTAGTTGTATTATCCTCGAAGAATCTCCTGAAAGTCGCATCTTCTGCCGCTCAAGGTTACGCGAAGAACTCGCCACGTACCGCATCCAGCTCAACAACTTCGAGGACCGCTACCAGCAGACGCGCACCGCGTGCGACGCGTGGCAACGCGAAGCCGAAGACGCCACGCGCAAGTCCCAACAGGCCGACAGCAAGCTCAACGAGGCGCTCACGCGCTACGACACCCTCCAAAGGGACTTCGACGATCTCAAGGGCGGGCCGCACATACGCAGCATCACCAAGGTGTCGGAGCTGAGCAAGCTGTCGCTGGGCGTGCTCAAGACGCTGCACGCGCAGCTCAGGCAGGACTTGGAGGAGATCGAGAAGGTGTTGTATCGGGAGACGGCGTCCAAATGCATGGTGTGCGAGGAGAGGAACAGGACGGTGACGTTGACCTGCAACCATTTCGTGTTGTGCGACGCGTGCGCTGGCACGCAGAGCGAATGCCCGTACTGTCAGACTCCTACGAACGTGATTGGGGCGATCTGAGGTAGAGGGGATTAGGCTTGGGAATGGAACGGCTAGATCTCGGGCGGGTCGCGGCTGGGGTGGGGATGGCTGGTTGATTTTCGGTTGTCGGAAGGTCTCGGTGGGTTCGAGGAGATGCTTGAGCATTTTGCGTCGGTTTTGTCGGTGGGGTCGTTTCAAGTTTGTATGAATATTTGAGCGAGGAACGTGGAATGGTCACATTTTTATAGATGTTATGGCATTTCCTCTGATGGTTTCTCATTATTGATATATGAGTTTTAATGTACGTGTAGTGATGACAAATCGAATAATTTGTCGCAAAATGTCACTGTGTTGAAGTAATGACACTATTAAGCTTTGTGGCATTGCTTCCTCGCTACGCTCGGCTATGAATTACCAACCGCGGAAGTCAATCTACATTTGCTGCCATGTGAAACATGAATTTTTCCCCAAATGTTATAATAGTTTTCAAATACTGGTTTCAAATATTGGTTGTAGATGTGGCCAGGTTAGGTTAGGATACATGAATGGCTTGCTTACTAACCTTTTTGAATAAGAAGTTTTCATCTGACATAGAAGATAAAAACTTCGATTCGTTGAGGTATCGAAGTTTTCGATTTCTCAGATTTGTATACATATTCTGAAGAATGAATTGCCACAAAAATGAGAGCTTCATAGCTTCATTTTTTTTTACACTGAGGTTTTGGAAATATGCAATTACCTAAAACATTCTATCCGATTTCACTATTGTCTACATTTTCAATGAAGAGTTCTGATACAAACACAAATTGTTTGAATAATTCTGATTGCAAACAAATCGAAAATGACAGTTGACAGTTCCTACAATTGACAGGCTGGACAGGACAGGACTCAAACGACTGAAGGTGTGTTTAAAAAACTCTGTTGCCATGGTAATGTGTACAAGAAATTGTGTTGTCATGGTAACGTGTTTAATTTCTTGAATAAATCAAAGATCATCAATTCGTGATTAATCGATCATTTAGCGTGGTACATATAATAATAATAATAATATCCATATGCTAAATGCCATTTTAGTTATGTGAGTGCAAAAAAACAATTTTGTGAATTTTTTTCATTGAAAACTCAATCATTTTATGTTCAATCAAGGTCAGTGTCAATTTTGATAACCAATTTCATTCAAATTACTTGGAACGTTGCCTTAGAAGACAAATACACTTTTCCTGTCTGTTAAGTGTGAGAGAAAGGCCATTTTCTATGCCGCTTGGAAAAAAATGGTATTTACTGCTTAAACTTGAGTATGAAAAATGCTCAAATCAAGATCAATTTTTCGTCAACTTGTATTATATGTATTTATATCATCCCTGAAACGTTGAGATAATTATTCAAACATGGTGTGACTCCCTATTCTTGAGATATTTCTCTTTGGTATCTCATAGTGAAATGTTTTCAATGCAGTGACATTTTGGGACAAATGATCTGATTCGTCCTCACTACAAATTTATTGAATTAATACCAAAACCAATAAGAGATGATTCGGAAAAATACCTATTTGTATTTTTTACGTGTACGAAACACTTCATGATTCATATTGTAAGCAAATAATTCCTCACAAGACTATTGAGACGTTACGCCATCTAGTGAGTTCCCCGATAAGGATTTACATTGAACTGAAAATGATGGATAATCAAGTTGGCATCCATCGAGAATTTTCGACGATCATTTCTACTAGCTACACCATAATCATGAGCATCTCAGTGTTGTAGCAGGCCGTTCGGCGATCTGGACGTTCCGTTCGCAATTTAACAAATTTTTAAATGTACGTTTTGTCTTAGTAGGTCTATTCAACAAATTTTTAATTTATAGGTCTAGGCGCGTTTTTTTGAAAGTGACTCGTGATTTTTCTGTATGATGTTTACATCACTCGTAAGTAAGGATATTGTGTTGGTTTTCTCGGCGTCATAGTAAAGAAGCGGCCGAGTCAAGACGATCGTTAAAATGAACATTACGCAAAGAATGTAACGGAGAAAAGTCGCAAAAAATACCAAACATAAATGATCAGCAGAAAACTAGCATGGGAATTTCACAAGTATACATCGTTCTGAAAGATTTTCATTTTTAGTCGGTCCCCAGGACGAAATCAATGACTGTTAATGTTTTTGTCAGTATATTAACATATATGGTTGCAATTTTTTCACTTAGGATTACAGTTTTTTTTTGTAACCTTGACATTTCAATAAGAATTTTGTTACCTGAAAATTAAACGACAAAAAAGTGCGTTCTAAAAATTTACCAGTAATTTTTTGGTCAGTTCTTTTGAGTTCAATTTCCTAAAGGCAACAAAATTTGAACAATAAATGTTGAGTTTACTTCGACCCGAAAAAATGCACCGGTGTAATTCGGTAAGACAATTTGATGAATGCGTAAATCACATTATAGTTGATTGATTTTTCAATTTCTAAACTTGAAGACTTTCCGAATCCCAACATTTCCACAGATTGAATACTTTTCTGATAGCACAAGATTGAGAAAAATTTACTTAAACGCCATCAAACATCAAAGATGCTTTCAAAATTATGGTTGTCATGGTTTCAAATGTTAGGTTCCCTTTTGTCGCTGGAAAACTTATGGGATTTTTTATACATTAATTGAATTGTCAGTGCTAAACACTAACTAAATACAACCATGTTAAATTGTTTATTACATATGAAAATAATTATTTCCATACAGGTTTATATAGCCAGGAATTGTTCAGTAATAATGATAATAATAAAAATGACAAAAATAATGATAAAGAACGATATTTCATTTAATAGCAACAATACCACAGAAAAATAACGGCTAACACCCACCAAATTTAGTGGTATGGTCATTTATTTAATGTTTTTTTTCTGCATTTTCCCGGTATACTTCTTGCGATGTTTTTTCTGGCGATAAGTTTTTATGCAGTTACCTGTCAGCTATGATGTTGAGAAACCACTGTGTTGTCATGATTTTTCTAAAAGTAACTATACTTTATCCAACTATTCCCTGTCCATATTAAAGTTTTTCGTAGAGAAAAGTTAGGTATTATCTATCTTGATTTCTCAACAAAGGCCACTAAGGTTTTCGAAATTATATCAACTCTGGAAGAGGACGAATCAAAATATATTTTATATACTCACATAATGTATTTTCATTTTGAATTATGCCTTGCTGTTACAATAGTATATTTCCATATACATTATTTTTTTCTGGCCAATTACCCCCACTTCTTGATCTATAAATTCATGAATTGAGAGTTAGTGAGGTAGAATAATAATTCCATAGTGTATAATTTTCGATATCGCATGCTATTCATTGGCTTTATTACATGTAGATCATATGAAATAAAATTTTAATATGGATTCTATTTGTATGACTGTAGAAGTTATTATTAGTTAGGATTTTCAAATTTTATATTATAGTTTCGACGATTTTGCTGCACCCTCAATGAACATATCAATATATTTCTTTTTTTAGGTTATGATTACTTACATGTTCATCACAAACTTGTTAATTTAAAATTGTGAATTATAGAATTGATGGACTCAGTCTCATTGCAATATTATATTATTTAGTTCAAAACTATCAAGTCTTGTAATAATATTGTGCAGCATCACATTTTAAAATTTATTTTATTAAATAGAAAATGACTGATATTATTGGTATTTATTTTTGATTAGGATATTATTTTGAAATAATTATGTATATTTTCTCAATATTTGAACATTATTTTTACTCTGCTGAACTACCCTCCCTAAAGCCTAGCTTATTTTGAGACTATGTATATGATTATAATTTATGAAAATAAATAACTAATGTTACATATAAAGAATAAAGCATTTTAATGCATTTACAGGCCCTAAAATGATACATTTTTACATACAGGGTCTGTATGACTAGCCACGTTTATACCGTGTTTTGGTAAGCTGACTAATGACTATATTTAGACTAAATACTCTTGGTCAGTTATTTGATATAAATTGTATACTTGGTAGTCTTGGTACAGTTACCAGCTTGGTCTGGTACTGAAATTTGTTGCATACCAGACTAAAATAGTATGGTCGGTCTACTTTTATATAACCTTTAATTGACTTCAGTGCAAGTGGCAGTTATTCCGTGAGTTCATGATAATATTTCATTCAATTCCAGCTAATTTTGTATCCTACTAAAAAGTGTTATTCTTAATTTACGAATTCAAGTGGAGCTCCACACCTAACCTCAAAAAAATAATCAAATCAAAACAAAGTTGGAAACGCTAGTCAACTGAAGACACATACTAAGGCATACGGTATAAACGTGCCCGATGATCGTCGCCGGTGCTTTCCTCTCGTGGAGATCGAATTCTAATATATACAGGCAACTCGATTTTTTCTTCCATTCAGCCGACAATTCGCCATAGAAAATATCACGTCGCCCCACCTGACGGCAACAACTCGAACACTTCTTATCGTTTTTGTTTGATGGATTGACCAATAATCACAAATAGAAAAACAAGTGTGAACCAATGGAATCAAAGTAAACAGACCGCTTTGCCAGCTTTCAGTAACTTAAATAGGTGGCGTACGCTTATTTTTATGGGGAATGGTCAAAGCCTGTAAATATCAAGCACGAATCCGTTTTGCCCAAACATATGCATAGGCGATTTCTATACACCAATCAGAACAATCCAAGATGCGCCTGCGCGTTTAGAAAAGTCTAGGGTGCAACCAGAGCTGGGCATTATTTTTATTTACAAATACTTTTTAGTATTTAAATACTTTTCGGTATTTAAATACCGGGTATTTAAATACTTTCTGGTTCAGGTAATTATATTTGCGAATATTTGTTGGAATATATTTACTACTATCAGTATTTGCAAAAAGTTTCGCGAAGTATTTGAATATATCTGAAGTATTTGAATGCTATATATTTTGGAGTATTAAAATACCCAAAAGTATTTAAATATTTCAGGAGTATTTAAATACTCGTGAAATATTCAAATATCATGAAGTATTCAAATACTTATGAGTATTTAAAGACTCCGCGAGAATAATTATATAAATATATTCACACAGATTCTAGAAAAAAATATAAAACTGTTGAGGACAAGACATAAAACAAGTAATCAATAATAATATTTCAAGATATTTTACCGTCGGTCCTTACCTCAGTAGGTAGTTTCAGAGTAGAGACCTCCACATCCAACATAGTATTTTAGTAAGTATTTAAATACCTTGGAATTATTTAAATACTTCGGAAATATTCAAATACTTTCAGTATATTTAGGTAAATACTTTGAAAATACTCAAATACTTTCAGCGTACTTAAATACTTACTGTGAACAACGAATCGTTGTCATATCGCGAAATCGTTGTCAACGATTTCGCAATGTGATTGCCAATTGCGATAGGTTATTCGTGATGATGTTCTTATGCGATGAAACTACGATGTACTGTGAGCCTGACATCGCAGTAAAACGAGAAAAGTTTCCTCATACATGGTGTGATATTAGGTACACCACGGACTTCTGATGACATTTAATATTGATATTGATTATAAGTTTTGTGACTATGGTTGGTAGATAGGTAGTCCTTCGGATCAGGTCCATTCAATAGTATTTTCAGCGGCGCCATCCTTGGTACCCAAGAATCTATATCAGAATAATGAGATCAGTTGTATTTGTATCGAAAATTAACCAAGAAAAGTTTGATAGCAATGTAACAAATTTTTACGAATTTAGCTTCACTTTCTTGAGTAAACGTATATATATATATTGTTTTTCACCGAACAAGTACCCCCAAGTATAGGTACACCCGGTGTATACTCGTTCTTATATATATTATTACCTTATATTTTTTCCGTTGTGATCCATTCAATGAAAAACAAGGTGGACTTCAATTTGGTGGGGGTCATTTTTTCTGTAATTATCATATCCCAGAGTTCAAACGTATGATCTAAGGTTCAAACCTTGAATCGGATTGTGCATCAACATCAGAACTTACGATTTTCGAATGGAACACCATCGATCTGTATTTTATTCCATCAGCTGTATATGCCTTAGCTGTTCTATGCTGTTCTTGAGAAAACCCTATCAAACTTATTGGTATTGTTGGATTCGTAATCATAGTCATTGAAAGATTATGGATTAAAATACAGGGTGGTTCATATGGATATCCAAATTTGATGCCGCCCGTTCCGCTTCAAGGTTTAGGATATTATAGTTATGATGATTACAGAAAATTGAAATCGGCGAGAAAACTTGGAACGTTTTTGATGGGCCAGCCTGTATAAAGCACCACACGTGACGCAAGTGCCATTTTCTCACACACATGTTTTGATTCGTTAATTGGATTGGTTGTACATCGCTATGGTGAAATTGAATTCATGCAAATGGATTCTCGTCCGGTAGTCGGACGAATAATCACGGTCAAAACTATAAATGTCAAAAATAAAAGGTTATATGTTTGTTTACATTTTTTATTTTTGTGTAGTCACAGAAAAATGTATGGAGGATGTAAATTGATTTTAATAGGTACGTACATGATGAAATAACAATTCATGTCTCCCAGATAATATAATTGTCATATTTTCAGGTGTCCTTGCTTTTCTTGCTCTTGGTGAAGAAATACTTGAACATTCTAGTGAATCTCCTAATCTATCAAATGATACAATTGAAAGTGTATTACCGCACAATACTACGCTGAATAATGACCAGAATGGTGACTCTACAGAAAAAGCTAACAAAACACAAAAATTTGTTCAGTGCTTGACTGGACAAGTAAACTCCCTGGAAGTGCAACTCACCAATGACACTGAACTGATCAAACTCATTCAGGTGGACCCCAAAGTAACTGACCGTGATGGCCCAGCCTTGTGTGTACTCGTTCTGTTCTACTCAAAACACTGCCAGTTTTCAGCAATGGCAGCCCCACACTTCAATGCTCTGCCCAGAGCATTCCCAGACATCAAGATGGTGGCTATAAATGCCATCATATATCGCCTATTCAATACTCAGAATGGCATAGTTGGGGTGCCTTCTCTGTTGCTTTTCCACAATGGGAGGTCAGTGGCCAAATTCAATGGGACAGAGTACACACTGGACAGCTTTTCCCAATTCATAACGAAGCATACAGGCATTCCTGCTGTGGAGAAGATGGCTGTCACTTCAGCAGACTTTTCTGGGCCTGTCACCAATGTCCCACCAAAGGAATATGATATTTTTTTGATTTTGTCATGGTTGTTTATTATTTTTTGTGGGGGATACTATTTTACTCAGTCCAAGTGGTGGAGATGGATTGTTGAGGCTATTAAGAGTAATTGGAGAGAGTCTGAAGCACATGCCCAACATGAACATGATGATTAGTGAATGTTGGACCAAGTACTTATGGTAGTGGATATGCTATTTAATATTATTTATTGAACATCATGGGCCATGATATGATACTTGGAGGTAATGAATATTTATATAATGTCATGAAAGACAAAGATGGTGCATAAATATTGTCATGGTGGTAATTATTATGGTCCTCAGAGCATATTTCAAATGGTGAACAGGAGGTAAATGACTGAACATTATCATGTTTGATTATGATTATGAAAAGCAAAAATAGATAAATAATTTTGAATATAGATTCTTTATCTTATATACCATTTTCAATGGCTTCCTATTTTGACAACATTTGGAATTGGGTTGGGGAAGTTTTTTTGACTATTATTGTAGTCTGTTCAGTAGTCTGTCAATGGTTTTCAAGTCAAAACCATATATAAAAGTAGTATTTATATATTTACACCTAATTGGACAGTATTGTATTGTTGTTTACTTTTGTATCAGTTCAAAAATCCAGCACCAGAAGTCACACCCTTCCTGATATTAATAAATATCATTGAGTAGGTATTCACACTAGTGTATGTTATAATCAAGGCAAATATCTACTTTTTTGGGCTCAAAACAATAAAACGAATCCCAATGTCCATATGCATTATTGTATCAATAAAAGAAATCTGTGTTTTCAGGGAGAGAGGATTTTTTCAGAAATATGAGTATTACTTTAATGTTTTTCTAATCCAAATTAAGTGATTTTCCAGTGTGTTTTTTGTCCCAACACCTCTATTACTAAATTGAGATCAACAATCCGTCCAACAGTGCCTATTCTGTTGGTATCAGTGATTGATGATAATGATTGATAATAGTTTCTTTTTTTTATCCAATGGTGGAGCATCAGTAGGGGGGTTATGGGCTTCAGAATTCCAATATTTATATAAATATATAGTGGGTGTTTCCGAAACATTGGTAACATTTCGGGAGGTATTCCCCGAGGCATATACCGGGTGGCTACGGAAGTATTGCCTACGGAATATCTCAGTTATTGTATGAAGTAGGATTGTGAAATTTGGAGCGTCGATATAATGACATATGAGCTAGAACTTGAGCACATTGACATGTCGAAGTTAACTTCCGGTCTGACCGGAAGTAACATCAACTTTCTTATTTTAAATGGAATCCCTATTTTTTTTCTTTTCGCTTTATTCAGCATTCAATTCCCTTTCTAATGACATATCACAAGTTGGTATCTAACCAGAAACTAGATCAGAAAAAAAATATTATTGAAATTCACCGAGTAGGCCGTGGAAGCAAAATGAAAGCCAAAAATTGAAAAGTTGGCTATGGAAACCATACGTCACTTGATAACAGTTGCTACTACTGTGATATTTTATTTTCATTCGTCGGCGTTATGAAAAGCCGCCAAAAAAAATATTGGAAAAATTGGGGAAAAAACAATACTCTGTAGGTCCATAACTTAAATAGGAACATACAACTTTTTCTTGCCTGTACTATTCAGCATAACCATTCCTTTCTGATGATATAATAGAAAGTCATTTTTTGAAATGAAATAGCAAAAAATCCAATTATTATTCTTCAAATAACAAAAAAACAGATTTATCGAAAAAAAAATAACGCCGACGAATGAAAATAAAATATCACAGTAGTAGCAACTGTTATCAAGTGACGTATGGTTTCCATAGCCAACTTTTCAATTTTTTTGCTTCCACGGCCTACTCGGTGAATTTCAATAATAATTTTTTTCTGATCTAGTTTCTGGTTAGATACCAACTTGTGATATGTCATTAGAAAGGGAATTGAATACTGAATAAAGCGAAAAGAAGAAAAAATAGGGATTTCATTTAAAATAAGAAAGTTGGTGTTACTTCCGGTCAGACCGGAAGTTAACTTCGACATGTCAATATGCTCAAATTCTAGCTCTTATGTCATTATATCGACGCTCCAAATTTCACAAACCTACTTCATACAATAACTGAGATATTCCGTAGGCAATACTTCCGTAGCCACCCGGTATAACCTCCAGATATTTAAGAAGAACACCAATTCCTACCTCATTTCCCTTGGTTCTCAGGATGTTCTCTGAACATTACAGGATATCTCTTTTCGTGGGAACCAGTACATAAAAAAAGGTATTTTTATGAATAAAGTTCCTATAAATATTTTCAAAAAATGCTTCATAAGGGTGCTACGCCCCTTAATATAAAAATTAGGTCAACCTGAAATGATTTTTCCCCACTATTTTCGAAACCGTTCATCAAATAACCATCCGCCCTTGAATAGACCCAGTAAACCATTTTGTGTTTCTGACACGTTCCTGAAACAAACTTTGTGAAATATGAAACATTTCACCTATATACTCCGAAACATTTATGAGACATTCTAGAGACCATAAATGACCTAGGGTGTGTAATGTTTCATTGGAATGTTTCAACCCAAATCTCCACGAAACATTCAATAAAGAGTATACATAAACATCTCTGAGATATTTCACTATTGCATTTCATGAAACGTTGCACTATTTGCAACATTTCCAACATGACTTTTTTGAAACATTTCCGATACATCTCACTTTTGCTGATAATGGAACATTTCGAATATGAAACCATTTTTAGTTCATACCAAGACTACATTACCACAGTAGTTAATCACTTTTACTCATAATGAAAGTGAACCCTAATTAACATCATGTGTAATGTAGTCAATTGGTATTAATATAGGTATATGGAGAAAAAAGCAGGGTGAATAAAATAAAACTGCAGCTTTTGTGGATTTTATATTATGAAAACTTATCAAATTTTAATAAAAAACCATTTCATTTCATATTTTCCCTTTCTCTAGCTAACCTGAGACCAGATTGGCGGAAGCAGGCTGCTACATATCTTTCGAACTCCACGTCCGTCACAGCAAACCTTTTTCTGACAGCACCTGAAAAAATTTTGAGATTTATTTGATCCACTCACCCACTCGCCTTTTTCATATTCGTAGTTGTCATTATTAACTTTCAACATTAGCACTACCACCATCAGGCAATATCAATGGACGCTAAAAATGGCTTCACCGGAATTAGAACAACAAAAGAAAGAATGGCTTCGTCTTTGTGTTCACCCACTCTCTTCTCGGACTGGACACTGGACAGTCGGAGCCGGCCGTGCTTGGTTCGGACTGTCATATGCCGATGTTGCCAGAGTAACCACCCGTCTTCATTGGTCACACTCAAGCATGTGATTCATTATAGCCAATAAAACGGAATCATGAACCTGGCAACGTCGAATTTGATGCATTTCAAACAAATAGTAAACACATGTATTGAAACATTCCAGAGATGTTTCACGTCACGCATAACATTTGAGAAATATTTCACATACGTAAACATGGCGATGTTTCAGATGACACGTCTAGAGATTCACGTGAGACATTTCCAGTAGAGAATTTTTGTAACGAATATGAAACGTATGTAGTGACATATTTCTGAAATATTTCACATAGCATAGAGAGCTTCAGAAATTTTTCCTTTATGTTAAAATTGAAATGTTTCAGATGACGCGTCTATAGAGATTCACGTGAGACATTTCAAGCAGAGATTTTTTGTAACGAATATGAAACGTATGTAGTGACATATTTCTGAAATATTTCACATAGCATGGAGAGCTTCAGAAATTTTTCCTTTATGTTAACATTGAAATGTTTCAGATGACGCGTCTAGAGATTCACGTGAGAGATTTCAAGCAGAGATTTTTTGTAACGAATGTGAAACGTATGTATTGACATATTTCTGAAATATTTCACAAACCATGGAGAGCTTCAGAAATGTTTTCTTCATGTTAACATTGGAATGTTTCAGATGACACATCTAGAGATTCACGTGAGACATTCCAAGCAAAGAGTTTTTGTAACGAATATGAGACGTATGTATTGACATATTTCTGAAATATTTCTGAAATATTTCACATAGCATGGAGAACTCCAGAAATGTTTCCTTTATGTTAACATTGGAATGTTTCAGATGACGACACGTATTAGGGAACTTTTGAAATGTTTCTGAAACGTGTTGTGTTTACTGGGGAGCCTAAATTATCAAATCTGATGTTCTGATGAGAATTTTCCAACCATAAATACTTTGTGATATTTTTCAGAACTTATTTTCAATTAGGAATGTTTCATCATTGAGAGTCATTGATAATTGAAATCAAAATTATTATATCCAATGTAAGTTCACCTTGTATATACTTATCTTGAATTGTTGATATTTAATTAATGATTTACGAGATGATTTATGACATAACTCTCTATTACTGATATGAAACTAAAATATTCCTTAACGGTTTCTTAGAAATTCGAAATAATAATATCTGTACTTTTCAGAAAATAAATTGACTTGTATTTGAGAATTATTCATCTTCATCTGCCGAATATAAATTGATCAAAGTGACTCTAGAGTTTAGATATAATATATGGATACATTTTCTACATTAATATATTTCTATGAATAATATACAAGATGATAATTGATGAGAATTCAGATCTCGGTACTATTAAATTTATTTATTCAATATTGCTACCCCTGTATGAACCAGTGGCGCCCATTGATTTTTTTGTGGGAGAGGGTAGTGTAACTACAAATTAAAAATTTGCCGCAGGAGAATTTTGTTTGCTTCAAAGACGAGTGTCTTTTGTGCCGAGTTTTTAGATTTTATGTTATTGTTATTGATCCATGATCCATTTCATGGCCATTATTTCATCGTTGAAGGGACGGGCAACAGCAACTGCAACTACTAATCAAATCCTGCTCGACTTGACTGCACACAAGGCTTGCAGGATCGAAGAGTAGGCGGTGATAATTCACTTCAACGGCGAAACAATCGAAATAACATCCCAGACAGCAGACACTAGACAGTCGACCAAGAACCGTGCCCCTGGTAGCAGTAGGCTGTGGCGACAGCTTTTTACCACATGCGCTGTAGCCCGATTCGCACATGGTTTGCGAGCGGTTATCAGTTGTTATTTGAAATTTATTTTCGGTGTTTTAGAAACGCATGATCTTCGTTTTATCAGTGATGAATCGGTGGGTGTAATTTGGTGAGAGATTTTTTTATTCTTCGGTGGGTTTTGAAGTGCCGTTAGTGCATTGAAAGGAACCGAGAAAGGTATGTGGATTTGGTACGAGTATGAGTTGATTGGGAAGTATTTGGGAGAGTGGGAGGTGGGAGGTCTTTTCAAATATAGCTCGAGTCACGTTGTTCATTGACTTTATTGAGATATCTGCCTACTTAATATTTTTCGCAAGGTTAATATAATAAGATATTGTTTTAGTTCAGAAACATCAAATATTTGATTTGGAATTGGAATAATAACGTTATTCAGGTGTACCTATCAACGTGAAAATTTTGAGGGAGCAAAAACAGACATTTATTTTCTCTTTATTGATAAAAGAAAAATAGTAAAAAACTGTCATGTTTATGAATACTTGTCAAAATAAGACCGCAACGTAATCTATCAAATGTCATTATTTCAAATACAATATAGGGCGCATTAGCCTACTAGTTCAAAATGATTTCGTTATGCCATGCACAAATGCATGACATTTTTTTTCATTTTTTCACGAGGTCAACGAGGTGAAATTGTTGCGGAAAAAATGAGGATTTCAAAAATGGTTTTTATTCTCGAAAAAATCAAAGGCGTACAATATATTTTTTTCAATTCTCCAGGATACATCCCTTACATACGCCACTCGTAGAGATATTAAAAAAATTTCTGCATCGAAAAATGCCTATTGGTACGACTTAGTAGGTGCATGTCAAATTTCATAAAAATATCTGGAACGGTATTGAAATTACGATAAAAAACCGATTATTTTCTTGAAATTTTGACACCGTATTGATCGGAAGTTGAGAGGTTCAGGGCAAAAGGGCAAAATGATCTAAGGAACCGCATATCCTTCATTTTCAGCCATCAATTAAATTACACCCTGTATATGTGTGTGGGACCACACGCACAATAAGACTCTCAAAGACTTCTGAGGATTGCTTGTAAGAGGGCAACCGAATGACGGATAGAACAATTTAACAATTCAATAATTCAACAATTTAACAAAAAATAAATTGGTAGGAACATTAAATTTAAACCTCAGAAAGGTTCGAATGGCACCCTGAAAAAAAAAAACAGTATCTACTCAGTTATCAAAATGAGATTTGGGACAAGACCCATTTTTCCACCCGAGAGTAGTAGTAGAAGCTCGTAGAAGTACGTTGAGAACAGTTGAGAACGGCCAAGAAAAAGAAATACCAAAATCACCACTACTCAATATAACTACTAGCAGTGCTACATACCTATACCTAGTCTCCACCACAATGGTTTGAAGGTAGGTAACCTTCAAATTATCGACATTAGAATGGATAATGCTTCGGATAATGCAAACATACCTATCAAAGTCGACTCACCTCACAAGCATTTCATCACAAACAAGACACAAACTCGGAAGCTCGACAGAAATACTATAGATAGGTACAGTCATCTTCAGAAAACATGTCGCACATGGACGATGATAGCATTATTAATAGGTAACTCCTGCAATAAGAGCGCCGACACCGTCCAACCGCGACA